TCCAGCGGCTGGAGTCCAGGGGCTGGAGTCCAGCGGCTGGAGTCCAGGGGCTGGAGTCCAGCGGCTGGAGTCCAGCGGCTGAGTCCAGCGGCTGAGTCCAGGGGCTGGAGTCCAGCGGCTGGAGTCCAGCGGCTGGAGTCCAGCGGCTGGAGTCCAGGTAAGCTTCAGGTGGGTCGCTGGCAGTGATTCATCTGAACTTTTTTCTTTTTACCTTTTTCAACCAGCCGATCAGCGCACGGTCAAACAGCCACACGCAGCTGGTGATCCAAATTGGATCGTCAGCCGCGTGCGTCCGCTGACACAATCAAAAGACTGACCTGGCCTGCCCATCCAGCACATTATCTTGGCCCAGCCTGGCCTGAAATTCGGGCCATGCGCGGCCCGAGTAAAAAATTACAGCTCTAATCTGTTTCAACCGGCTGGGTTTGAGAGGACAGGAAGTAGAAAACACATAATGGCAGGTCCACCAGTAGAACCAGGCCCAGGACAATCGATCATCCACCCCGGCTGGCCCGACTCCAATAGGACAGGGAAAAAACACACAACGGCAGGTCCAGGACGGAGGCCATCAAGTTATTGTATAGGAGGAAAAACAAAAAGACAGAATCACATGTTAGGAAAGAATAAGTACAAATATCAACTATTCATTTGATGAAATGAGGTCAATTTGTCTCCAATAGTATAAGGTTATAGCAGCATAGGATAAGGAATAGGTCAGAAAACCAAGCTGATCAAATATAGGATTTATCAAAAAGGAAAGTCTTAAAACTGGACAATGTGTCAGCCTCACAGACAGAAACTGGAAGTTGGTTCCACAAGAGAGGAGCCTGATAACTGAAAGATCTTCCTCCCGTTCTGCTTTTGGAAACTCTAGGAACCACAAGTAAACCTGCAGTCTGAGAGCGAAGTGCTCTGTTAGGAAAATATGGAACAATAAGATCTGTAATATAAGATGGAGCTAGGTTGTTGAGAGCTTTGTAGGTTAGAAGTAAGATTTTGAATTCAATTCTGGACTTGACAGGCAGTCACTGGAGAGAAGCTAAAACTGGAGATATATCTCTCCCACTAACTCCAGTTAAGACTCTGGCAGCAGCATTTTGGATCAAATGAAGATGTTTTAATGAAGTATTTGGACACCCAGATAACAAACTATTGCAATAGACCAGTCCAGACATGATGAATGCACATATGATGGAATGAGGTCAGTTACATGTGACCTGCACGGGTTTAAGCATCCAGACTCTAACATGTGGTTTTGATTGAAACAATGAGCTTATTTTAATTATGACAGCTTTCGGTTACTGTTGTCTTTAACTCAAGAATCTTAAGTGTTTGAGTAAGTTTGGACTTTTTGCTGACTAAGTAAAAATAAAAATGGATCCTATTGCTTCACTCAAGAATCAGCTTGTTGGTACTGAAGATCTGTTTTTTTATAAAGCTGTTATTGCTGGTAGCTTTAATCAGTTTTGTCAAACCAGCACATGTTCATACTGCCTGGTTAGAACCCAGGAACTCAAACTGACACGAGAGGCTTGAAAACAACAACAGTTGTATTAACTAAAAACAAAAAGGCTGATGTGGTAGCTAAAACTTACATGAGCTGGTGTTAAATCACAAGGAGAACTGGACGTGGCATAAAGCGCAACGATGGCGAGCGGATAAGTGACAGTGGGAATAAATGGACTGGGTCAGCTGTGGAAGGAAGACAGCGGAGCCTATGAAACAAGGGACAGGTGTGGTCGTGGTAGGACTGAGGAGGAACAGCTGAATAGAGGAAGAAATGGCTGACAACCCAGGGGGATGCAATTAGGGAAAATAAACTAAACACCGATAAACACAACAAATGCAATTTAAAACGGAAATTCTACACAAAAATAATGTACATCTGTAAATGGTCAGGTTAGGCTGAATATGAATTTAATAGCATCCAAAGTCCAAAGAAAAACTTTGAGTAACCTTTAAAAAACCCTGAAGGATCAACTTTAAAAGATTCCATTGCTGACTCCTTGGACATAAAATATTCAAAAATGAGAGGTGACTCAAGACTTTTGCACGGTAATCTAATAAAATGAACAAAATGTGTGACGAGGGAAAATTTTATCCAAAAACTAGATCAGTTTAAAATCTTACTCCGACTTGTGTCACGTATTTGCTGGTGTGCCTAAAGGACCACAGTCCTGTTGCCTGAATCACTTTTGACTGAGCTTCATCTTTTCTACAGATAGCCTCGCATTGAACTCTAGAAAACTTCAGTTTGCAGAAGAGTACATGGCTGAGTCAATGATTCTACTTATCATCACCTTATCAAAGGGCGGCTGTGGCTGAGTAAACCTGTCGCGATAAACGATAAAACAATTAATCGCATGATAAATGAAAATTATCCACCTTGTTTTCATTTATCGACTATCGTTTCTTCGTGTCTCTCTCTTTCTATTGAAGACACTGGATGACAAAAGGCTCAACTCTGGCGCTCTTCACTGACTCCTCCCTTTCTCTTTTCTCTTTAAAATCAATTTTAACCATCTAAAATCGTGTTTTTGGATCGTTAAAAGCAGTTAAGCTGAGAAGCTAAGCTACGAGCTAAGCTAACCGGCCAACCTCGGGGGGGAAAAACCTCCGTCTTGTCGAAGCTCTAAAATTCACGGTTGAAACTCGTGCCTTCGTGTAAAAAGTTGTTTTTCTTTGCAAAAAGAAGCCAAAGACTTGTTTACTGATTTTTTAAATTAAATGCTTTGTGCGGAAAAATGCTGTGCTAAAGAGCTTAAACCACACTGAGCGTCCGCCATTTTGAGAAACGAAAAACAGGAATGAGAGACAGCCCATGTCACGTCAAAGGGCCTCCCTTCCATTTTTCTTAAAGAGACACGCTGCTCGCTCCCTCACTATCCATCCTTCGGGTCCAACAGTCTTATACTGCCATCCGGTGGTTGAAAAAAGGTACTACACACAAATTAAACATTTCTTCTTAAATTTAACAATAATTACTAGTTATTGTCACATTTAAAACTATATTGTCATTTATCACAATCATTTCTGAGACAATTAATTGCCCAGCAAAATTAGTTATCGTGACAGGCCTAGCTCAGTGGTTAGAGCAGTCATCTTCCAATGCAAGAGTTGGGGATTTGATTCCACCAGCAGTCACATGCCAAAGTGTCCCTGGGCAAGACACTGAACTCCTGAATGGGTAAATGAGGGCACAGAGTGTAGGGTAAAGAGCTTTGAGTGTCTTGATAAGATAGAAAGGCGCTATTAAGTACAGTCCATTATTTGTGGGTCTACACCTATAATTGCTGTATGCTGAGGATATCTTCTTTTTGTTATCTGTCATCAGAATCTTCATTAATTACAATTTGAGATAATTTCAAACCAACACATACAAATGAAAGCTGATGGCATATGAATTAATTTTCCAGGAATGGATCTGTCGGCTAATCAGACAGAGGAAGGGGACCAAGAAGTCTTCCAACTGGAGATGAACCGTGCAGACCGGAAGTGTGCTTTCAGAACTGCTGCTGGGAAATACTGGACTTTGACAGCAACTGGAGGACTGCAGTGCACTGCCTCCTCCAAGTACTCTCACCAACACACATACTATGACATAGGACGTTTCTCACTAAAGGACTGATAGTGAGTTCTATATTGTGCTGTTGCTTTTCAGGTCTGCAGACAGTCACTTTGAACTGGAGTGGTGTGATGGTCGCGTGTGTATCCGTGCAGCCAATGGCAAGTATGTGACTGCGAAGAAGAACGGGCAGCTAGCAGCAACCGTCGACGGTGCAGGTCAGTCACGCGTCTGATATTTATCGAACACAACAAAGGCGAGCTCAAAGTGCAGGAGGAGAACGTAACAAAATATTCAAACACCAGTTATTTGACCCTAAAACATCATGTTAAAGTTTTTTTTAACTGCATTTGGTGTAGCAATCTGCACTTTTGATGCTAATTATTTTTGGTTGAGTATGAAGCCATTTATAACGAAGTGCCTCAACAACAGTGATGTATTTTTATTTATGTGTGACTACAGCTTTTAATCTCTTAACAGTTTAAGGCTAAATATGCTATATACAAAGATTTTTAGGTAATTTGATTTTTGTAGAGCTTCTCAGGACCACACACTTGGTGTTTCATGACCCACGTTGGGGTCCCAACCCTGACTTTGGGAACTTGTGGTCTAATGAAGCTGACCAGTAAAAGAAGGCTGGGATTCTTCTTGGGTGGCAGCCTCCTCTATCTAAAAAATGTATTCTGAAAAGGATAAGAAGGCCGCGCTTTATAGCAGCAGCTTTGTGCACTCTGCTCATCTTTCAGACGGCTGTACATACATAGTCTCGTTGTATCCTGGTGCAATGATAATAAAGCTTATTCTGATTCGGGTTCTCTTGAACTTTTTATGGAAAATGTGCTAATCTATTGAGCAAAATACCACTTACCTAGATTAAAAAAAACTACCGGGTAAATTCATGTTTTCCTTTGTTTTTGTTTTTTTTTTACAAAGGTTTCATAAGGGTTAGGGGTTAACCCAGGTTTCTCATCAGGAACTTTCAAACTTAAAAAGAAAGGCCTGATCACACTATGATGAACTGGATGCTGTGCAGCTCTGCCCTAAATTGGCACAGTATAACTGACTTCATAGAGGTTCACTTACATGCAGTTTTTGTGTTTTGTGTAATGAAAAGTGTTGTTAACAGCATGCATTTGTGTATTCAGTCAGTTTTAGATGAGATAATATTTGCTCACTGACAAGATGAGGCTATTTGAAGCAGTTGAGACCTGTGCCTTTTTCATGTTTGTGATTACTAGGTCCAACCTAGTCCAATTTCCATCTCATGATATTACAGACAAAGATGGTAATTTAATCATTACAACAATACAAATAATAGAAAGTTTCAGATGGTGCACTTCAGGTAGTGACTTACTGTTAGGGAATTTTTAGTCAAAGTTTATGGATCCAACAATTTTCAGTCAGGTCATCTGGATAGTTTCTTTTTTTTTTTTTGCTGAAACGTTTCACCTTCCATCCAGAAGGCTTCATCAGTCAAGGAAACACACAACACAAAACTGATTCTTCCCCCAAACAACTTACTTCAAAGTGGAACAAACCAGTTATGTTGGTGCTAAGATGGTGTCTTTGGCACGCCCCCTCCTCTCGTGCCGGCCCTCTTCCTTGTCGACAGTCACTGGTTCAAAACCCCCCCAAAAAAGTCCATGCTCAATAATCCAGGTATACAATCCAACAATTTTCAGTCAGGTCATCTGGACAGTTTCTTGTTTTGCTGAAACGTTTCATCATCTTAGCACCAACATAACTGGTTTGTTCCACTTTGGAGTAAGCTGTTTGGGGGAAGAATCAGTTTTGTGTTGTGTGTTTCCTTGACTGATGAAGCCTTCCGGATGGAAGGTGAAACGTTTCAGCAAAAAAAGAAACTGTCCACATGACTTGACTGAAAATTGTTGGACTGTATACCTGGATTATTGAGCATGGACTTTTTTTTTTTTTAAGTTTATGGATGTTTTAACTACTACTGCTAAGAATGCTAACTGCCCATGAACCAAATGTTTGAGTTTAGTAGAGAGCTGGATGAGGAGCTAGGCATGCAGCTGTCGCTTCAAGAACGCCTTGGATTCTATGTGCTTCGCTGAACTGATAAGCGTATAAAAACAAGTTTCACACACGGCTCATGGCAGATTCTCGTGACTGGTTTTCATGTGTGTAATTCATGTATATCTGTGTAACCTGTCCTGAAAATCTAACCTTACAAGTAAATGCCAGTTAAAAATCTTCTGCAGCCGAGTGTGGTTCCTTTAGAGTAAGTAAGATAAAGCGAGAATATTTTTCTCCAACACTTACTGCAGTCATCTGACACATGTGTATAGCTGAGTGTCATCTGCATAGCAATGGAAATTTAGACTGTACTACTTTATGTTTGCCCAAATGAAGCATAACTCCAGTCAAAAGAATTAGTACAAGCACTAAACCCTGTAGAACTCAATAATAATGGAATGTTTGTGTTTTTGAAACCATTAGTGAAAAGGCCAGACTTCAGGGGTATCTGAGGCAGGCTTGAAACACAAGAGTCAGGGTGGCTTCTGGGTAATACCAGATGGCTAGGCCTCAGACTGACGAAGCCTCTTGGATGAGGGGCGAAACGTTTCTTTTTAACAAAAAAAACGAAGTCCAGATGACATGATTCAACCTTTTTTGTTGTTATATACCTGGATGACTGAGAAAACAAACTTTGTGAATAATGGAATGTCTTGATCAGTCACGTCAAATCCTTTACTAAATGAGAATTTACAAGTTAAACACGGAGAGACAAAAGTCCTTTATCTCAAGCACAGATCTAAATTAACGTCCTTCCTCAGGAGAGGCCGAACAGTTCCTGATGAAGCTGATTAACCGTCCAATCATCGTCCTCCGTGGGGAGCATGGCTTCATTGGGGCTCGTAAAGCTGGATTTCCAACCCTCGACTCCAACAGAGCGTCCTATGATGTTTTCCAACTAGAGTTCCATAATGGTGCTTACTCCCTTAAAGGTGAGTCATGCTATGAAGACAACAAAACGTATTAATAAAAATGTGGTGTTATTCTAGGATCTTTTATGCAAATATTACGTCACATAATTTGAATTGGAGAGTAAAGTTTTAAAGCACACTGCAACAAAGCTTCTTATATGAAGGGCACATGTAATGAATATGAAAAATAGCATTCGCCTCTTACATTTTCTGCATTCTGAGTACATATTTGCAATATGTGCAAGCACATTTGAAATAATTTATTTCTTCAAAATGAAAGGAACTACCGTATTTTCTGGCGTATAAGTGGCTCCGGAGTATATGTCGCATCAGTCAAGAAAAGCACCATGAAGAGAAAATACATATATAAGTCACATTTATTATGCATCACCGCAGACCTGTCGTGTTTATTATGCATTTATTTAATGGTCAAAACAGCTTCATTTCACCTGGGCGATGCCATCCATCCATCCATCGCGGCTGGAGCCACTTGCGCTCCAACGTTCCTCCGCCTGCACCAGCTGAGTGAAGCGAGCGTGCACGGGAGATCTTGCTGGTGCAGTTCTTTGAAATTTAATTGAATTGTTTAAAAAAAATAATAGTAATAATAAAAATTTTGCTGACCCCCAGGGGTCCAGGGACCGCAGTTTGAGGACCACTGCTTTAGACTATGCCAATATTCAAAATATCTAATGGGAAAACTATTCTGGCCATGTGAGCCAGTCATCTGAATTTCTCCACAACTTCATCATAACTTTAATGTCTACATAAATGCATGTGTCCCTGCGTGCCAGGGTTCATTTAGTGTCTTGTTTGCTCAGACTCTCAGGGGAAGTATTGGTGTGTTGAAGACGACGCAGCAGTTGTGTGCAGCAGCGCCATACCAGTCCAGTTCCTCCTGGAGTTTTGTGATCTCAACAAGATGGCCATTCGAGTTGTTGGGGGAAAATATCTTAAAGGGGATCATGCTGGAGGGTTGAAGGCCAACGCGGACTCCGTGGACAGCGCCACCCTCTGGGAATATTAGGAGGACTTCGCTGCTATCTGACACGACTTAAAAATGATGATGTTGTCTTGTGTTGTTTTGTGTTTCTGTGTGTGAGTGTAGTTGTGAATATTTTGAATGGCTGTGTGGTGGAAATCGAAGCTGATAAACTGGACGTCAAGACAGCAAAGTGCTGCAAACATTTGATTTTTTTTTGCTCATATCTTGCTGGACTCTTTTTAACTGACATTTGGGATTAACGTGAACTTGTTCTACTGAATGTGTGGCTTTTTTCACTTTTATCCCATCTTACACAAGCTGTACTTATGAACTGTTGATATTTGTGGTACTTTCTGCTGGTGTAACAAACGTAGAATTCTGCAACTCAGCTGCTTTAATGTCTTACTGGTTATATACACAGCTTTCATTTCTTGTTCACTTAAAAAAAAAAAAAACTAAAATAGACACACCGGATGAAGCAATGTTACTGATTTGCATCCCTCTGCTGTAAATACTGCTTTGTCTGTTGCTTTAAAATATTCCCTTCAAAACAACCATAGAGGAAGTTGGCAGATATTACATTCGTTCCAAGTTTTCTGCTTTTAGGCTGTCGTTAAAATCTCTAGCAAGATAAACCTCTAGGAAACAGTCAGTGATCAAAGATTTCAGAATCAGATTCTCTGTTTATTGCTTTGATAAGATAATTGTCAAAAGATTTTCAACCATATTCAAAAACTGCACAAATGTCAATAATTTACAGAAGCATTTAAAATAACTCAAATAAGAGGGATTTTTTTTAAATTTTCTAATAAAAGCAGTGACAGGGAGGCAGTAAATGAGGCCATTTTAGAACACAAGGACATAAAATGCACAAACATACCGTCTTAAAATACTGAACTGTAAAAAAAAAAAAAAGACCAAAAAATAGCACAATGTGTTTGCCACTTAAAGTTGAAAGCACAAGTTTGTTGTTGGACCTGTATTAGATGCTGCTACTGATTTGTGCACACAATGGTGGACAAAGGCCTCTGGCTTTTATTGTGGCTGTGCCTTCCATTTAACATTTACTCTATTTCTTTCTTTTTGTTAACCTGAACAGAAAAAAAAAGTGAATAAACTTCTGTCTCTTACAATAAACTTTCTCTTTTTATTTGCTTTTCTCCAAGTAATGTTTTTTTTATAAATTTTACCAAAAACCTGTTGATGGAAAAGTCTGAATTATACAGCAGATAAGGTTTTAGCAGTAAGTCACATAGTTTGGTAAGTTTATGTTTTTCTGTTGCCTTAATGGTTTTGGACAAAAAGACTCAAAATATTGAGCATTGCAAGTTTCACCAAAAGTTCATGCTTAGCAGGTACAAATCCAACAATGTTCAGTCAGGTCATATTAGCGGTTTCTTTTTTGCTGAGACGTTTCGTCCTTCAGGACTTCTTCAGTCTGAGGAGCCACAAACAAACTGGAGTCCCACAATTATGGTGCACCCACAATACGTCCTTGTGGGACTCCAGGTTGTTTGTGGTTCCTCAGATTGAAGAAGTCCTGAAGGACGAAACGTCTCGGCAAAAAAAGAAACTGTCTAGATGACATGACTGAACATTGTTGGATTGCAAGTTTCATTTTGAGTGAACATACACGACCCAGTGGATTTCTGTTTCAGCCATGTTCTCATTTAAGAATAATTCTTTAAACTGAGTTTTATTTTTTTGATCAGAATAATTTAAAATCAAAATCTGTTCTACTCTTTGGTGCATGACGAGTGCCGCTGCGTAAAATAATAATTTATCCTCAGCTAAGCATGTTCAGGTCAGCTAATGCTAGCATACTAGCAAGAAACCACGCTAAATTTCCGTGTTTTCCGGTTTAATATTACAGTACTTTAGTCAAAATAGTCAGATTTTTGGTTTAAATCTTTCAAGAGCAGTATTAACTAGAAAGTTCCTGGAGAAACTTTGATGGGGGACTGCCACATTGTGGCCATTTTAATGTTTTAATTTAACAGTAGGTCCTACTGTGTGTTTGAGTTCGCTTTCAGCTACCACCGTACAAATTTCAACTCAATATACAGTAATAACAAATCAATGAGTCATAGTCATTTTTTTAATTTAAGCTATGGTGGCCATCTTGAATTTTTAGATTTTATTGTAGAATGTGTTGTGCATCGCTGTCAGATATCACCACCCACACCAAATTTTGACTCAATGTCTTTGCTCTGAGTAATCATATTTTTTCCCTTTTAGTGGCCATCTTGGATCTTCATTCACATCAGGAATGTGTAACAACTCGCTCTCAGCTACGACCATACTTAATTTCAGCTCAATATCTCAAAGAATGACTGAGTTATAGTCAATTTTCAGTTTTCTGAAGTTGCTTTAGTTGAAGTTGCCATCTTGAACCAAAATGGCTCCAAAAATTATTCAGTGTTTTGTTCCAGGACCTCTGCCCTCTAGGTCATGTGACCTCACTGCGGTAGTTAGAGGCTGTTAAAGACTTCTGTCAATGTTTTTGTGTTTTTCCAAGAGAAAAAATGTTGTCTTTGTTTACAAATTATGTAACCATGGGAACTCAAAACGCCAATAAAAGTAACATCACGCATCATGGTGCTGAGACGGTTGTTTTGATTTTAAATTTGCTGGGGTACATATTGTAGTTCAGGTCACATTAAAGTTGAAGGAAGAGTAAGATCCTGTTCAGGTGGATAATAATAGGTGGCTGCCTTTCTAGGTAGTCCCCAACAAGAGTACTGCATATACACCCATCGACAAACTACTATACAGCAATCTATAGCAATGGCCTGGACATGCAAAGGTCTTTTTATAACATTTGACCTTGATTTGTGACCTTGACCTGGAAGCTGGGGTAGTGAAAAGTTTATGTGACACTGGCTGGTGATGCATACTGTATGAAGTTTAGTTACATTATCTGGAGCGAATCAGAAGTTATGGGAAAGATATTATACCATAGTACTTCCACCTTTCGATGGGTGTATAATAAAAGTACCTTAACAGTACTGGAGAACAGGAACAGATTGTCCTAGCACACTCAAAACCTAAACTGACTAACTTTCGTCATTGTTCTAATAGAAATGAGTTTGTAAATCTTTCAGAATACATCTCATCTGTAATGATGCATGGTCCCTGATTACAATATCGTACACATACATATTAAAACCAATGTAAAATATTAGATAATTATACAAATATATAGTTTTTTTTTTTAAATCAATAAAAAGGTTTAAAGGACAAACATAAAATTATTTGCCCAATAATGAAAACATATTAAGTTACATACAGTATTAGATCAAGAAATTTGATTTGCAATGTGATGGCCATTTTATTCTAATAAGAAAATGGCTCTGTCATGGTTTTACTAATGCTTCTGCAGCTTATGTGGGACGAAAAACTGAAAAAGCCCACATTATGTCCTCCCCCGAGATTTCACTGAGCCAAAACTGTAGAAGAAAAAGGAATGTGAAGTAAAGAGGGAGCTAACCTACTTTACTGTGTGCTTCTACAGAGGACACTGAACTCAGTCATGCTGTGTGCTAAAGCTACGTACACATACATTCACACATAAATTCAGAGACAAGCTATTTTGTTTTCTTTTTCCAGCAGCATCTTTTTATGTTGCCATGGAAACACACAATAGCAGAAACGGAGCTTGAGGGAAACGAATGTGCAGAGAAGGAAGAGATACTCAGTCAGAGCAATAATCTCTACAAACCTTGCATCTATTAAGGATAAAGCTTTGACTACAACAGTAGGTATAACAGAAATCTTGGCAATCCAATCACTCACACTTATACACCCCATCCAGCCCTGTAACAACATGTAAACAGAAGAATGATAGTAGTGTGGAAAGAAACTGTATCCAGTGACAAATCTTCAAAATGTTACTTTTAATTAAAAAGACAAAACAAAATTAACTAGAAAAATTGCATTTCCTGTGAAAATGCAGTGTGAATGCTTACTGCAGAAGAACTTGCTGAAAAACAGTCGAAATTGAAAAAAGAACATGCTGAAATATAGCTGAAATTAAGAACTATCCTCCTAACGTAGCAGATGAAAGCAGAAAAAAGCACATATTTGCTGAATTAGGTTTAAATAAGCAGAAATGAGCACAAAAATTAGCTAAAAAAGCTGAAATGATCAAAAATAGCTGAAAAGTAGCAGAAAAGGCAGAAAGAAACAAACTACTAAAAGGAAGTGGAAAGAGATGAAACTGTGTTTTTAAAAAAGGTGCAATTAACAGGTAAAAGCTGAAACAAAGATAAAAAGCTGAAATTAGCATAAAGAAGTAAATTAGCTTGAACGTACCAGTAATTACCACGAAAAACTTGAATTTATTTGAAAACAGCTATAATTAGCTAAAAAAATGCTACAAATATATAGCTGAAAATGTATAACAAGCTAAAATTAGCAGAAGAAAGCAGAAAGAACATGTTTAACCAGTTAGGCTGAAAGAAGCAGAAATGAGCACAAAGAAAATAGAAATTATATGGGGGGAAAAAGGGTGAAATTAGCAAAATAACAGCTGAAAAGCAGCTAAAAAAGCAGAAAGAAGCTGAAATTACAAGAAGGAAGTGGAGAAAGCATTTTTACTGAATTAGGCTGAAAATTTTTAATTAGTGCAAAAAAGTGGAATTATTTGAAAAAGCTTAAATTAACAGAAAAACTGCTAAATAGTAGCTGAAAAGCTGAAACTTGTAGAAATAAGCTAAAAGGAGCTTAACAAGATGAAATTAGCAGAATGAAGTTAAAAAAACGCACAAAAGTGTAATTAGCAGAAAGAATCTGAAAGGAGCACAAAACAGCTGAAAAAAACCCTGCTGAAATTAGCTGGGAAAATATTTAAATTTGCACAAGGAAGCTGAAAGAAGCTGAAGCAGAACAAAATGTGAAAGGAGCAGTAAAACGTTGTAAACAGATCTAAAGATTTGAAGGATGTAAAATGAGCTCAATTAATTTTCTATGAGGGAAAAAATGGCAGAAAAGGCCAAATATTTCAAAGAGCTAAAGTTTCATCATGCTCCATTCTTCCTTCACTCATGAACAAATCCCAGAGATACTTGAACTCCTCCACTTGAGGAACAACCTCACACTCGACCTGAAGAGAGCAATCCACCCATTTCCAGCTCAGGACCATGGCCTCAGATTTGGAGGTGCTGATTCTCATCCCAGCTGCTTCACACTCGGCTGTGAACCGCTCTAGTGAGAGCTGAAGATCACGGCGCGATGACGCCAGCAGGACCACATCATCTGCAAAGAGCAGAGATGGAATCCTGAGGTCACTGAACCAGATACCCTCCACCACCTGGCTGCACCGAGAAATTCTGTCCATAAAAGTTATGAACAGAATCAGTGACAACGGGCAGCCCCGGCAGAGTCCAACTCCCACCCTGAAGGAGTCTGACTTCCTGCTGGCAATATAAACCAAACTCTCGCACCACTTGTATAGGGACTGAACAGCCCCCAATCCCATTCTCATGGAGCACCCCCCACGGTGTACCCCGAGGAACACGGTCAAATGCCTTCACCAAGTCCACAAAACACATGCAGACTAGATGGGGAAACTCCCATGACCCCTCAAGGATCCTAGTGAAGGTAAAGAGCTGATCCAGTGTTTCACGGCCAGGACGGAACCCACATTGTTCCTCTTGGATCTGAGGTTCAATCAGCGATTGGGCTCACTTCTCCAGTACCCCTGAATAGACCTTACCAGGGAGGCTGAGTAGAGTGATGCCCCTGTAATTGGAGCACACCCTCCGGTCCCCCTTTTTTGAGGAGGGGAACCACCACCCCAGTCTGCCAGTCCAGTGGCACTGCCCCCGATGTCCACGTGTTTTGCTCACGAGTGAGGGAAGAATGGAGCGTGAGATTGACCGATGGATAGAGCAGCGTCTGCAATATCGCAGATTCTGTGTGGGTCTTTTGTGGTGAAGAGGGAGCTGAGCTGTAAGGCAAAGCTGTCTGTTTACCGGTCGGTCTACATTCCTACCCTCACCTATGGTCACGAGCTCTGGGTAGTGGCCGAAAGAATGAGATTTTGGATAAAGACGGCTGAAATGAGTTTCCTCTGCAGGGTAGCTGGACTCTCCCTTAGAGATAGGGTGAGAAGTTCAGTTATCTGGGAGAGATTAGGACCACTGCTCCTCCACATTGAGAGGACCCAGTTGAGGTGGTTCAGGCATGTCCGACTGGGAGGAGACCCCGGGGATGACCCAGGACACGCTGGAGAGACTACATCTCTCAGTTGGCCTGGGAACACCTTGGGATCCCCCCAGAAGAGCTAGAAGAGGTGGCTGTGGAAAGAGATGCTGGGCCTCCCTGCTCAAGTTAATGGCCCCGCGACCCAATTTCGGAATAAGCAGAAAATAATGAATGGATGGATGAATGGATAAAGTTGCATCGATACTAAAAGTCATAGCAGGATTGTCCTGAAGGAGCTGAATGTTTTGATACGATTTGAAATAGCTTGAAAACTGCGGGATGAGAATCGCGCTGAAAAATGTACAGAAGAAAAATGTATAACAATAGTGTGAATGTTTCATAAGCGTTCTCACACTATTGAAAATTAAATAACAATCCTAGATAAGTTACAGAGAAATAAGTCCAGCATGATGTTTGTGCAGTCAGTGTGTTGATTATGACTTTATTTCTTATCCTCATTTTAAAATCAAACTACAAACCGGATTCCAAAAAAGTTGGGACACTAAACAAATTGTGAATAAAAACTGAATGCAATGATGTGGAGATGGCAAATGTCAATATTTTATTTGTAATATAACATAGATGACAGATCAAAAGATTAATCTGAGTAAATGTAACATTTTAAAGGAAAAATATGTTGATTCAAAATTTCACAGTGTCAACAAATCCCAAAAAAGTTGGGACAAGTAGCAATAAGTGGCTGGAAAAAGGAAATTGAGCATATAACGAACAGCTGGAAGACCAATTAACACTAATTAGGTCAATTGACAACATGACTGGGTATAAAAAGAGCTTCTCAGTGTGTCAGTGTCTCTCAGAAGCCAAGATGGTAAGAGGATCACCAATTCCACCATTGTTGCGCAGAGAGATAGTGCAGCAATACCAGAATGGTGTTACCCAGCGTAAAATAGCAAAGACTTTTAAATTATCATCATCAACCGTGCATAACATCATCAAAAGATTGAGAGAATCTGGAACAATCGCTGTGCGTAAGGGTCAAGGCCGTAAAACTCTACTGGATGATCGTGATCTCCGGGCCCTTAAACGTCACTGCACCTCAAACAGGAATGCCACTGTCAAGGAAATAACAGAATGGGCTCAGGAATACTTCCAGAAAGCATTGTCAGTGAACACAATCCACCGTGCCATCCGCCGTTGCCAGCTGAAACTCTACAGTGCAAAGAGGAAGCCATTTCTAAGCAAGCTCCACAAGCTCAGACGTTTGCACTGGGCCAGGGGTCATTTAAAATGGAGTGTGGCAAAATGGAAGACTGTTCTGTGGTCAGATGAGTCACGATTTGAAGTTCTTTATGGAACACTGGGATGCCATGTCATCTGGACCAGAGAGGACAAGGATAGCCCAAGTTGTTATCAACCAGTGGCGGATTCACCGTCGGGCACGACGGGACACTTCCCGGTGGCCTGGTTGCCGAGGAACGGGACTAAAGGCTCGGTTCGGGTCGCACGGACTTTATTATTTTAAATAAACAATTCACTTTTGCCTGGGCTCAGGTCTCACGCTGCACTGCAGCGACGGAGAAAGCCTGGCACATCCACCGGCCGGGCCGGCCCCCTCCCTTCCTTTTCTGTGTGTCACAGAGCAGAGACACACACACACATATTGCGCCCGCCCCCCTCCCCGCCCTAGGACTCGCGCTCCCAACGGTGTTGGCGCGCGGTGCGTGCATCTCTGAGTTGTAGAATGGAGCAACAGAGACAGCCAAAGAAGAGGAAAGGTGGAGCAGAGAGAGAGAGGATAAAAAAGAGAAAAGCTCTGGCCGCGGATGAGTACAACACGATCTCTCATTTGTTGTATGAAACTATGATTGACTGTCATATTCCTAGTGATTTTAAAAGGGCTTATGCATAGCAAAATATAGGGCAACATAATTTCAGTTTATGTGATTTGAGGACGGATTATTGCACCACAGAAGAAAGATTTATGTAGGTATTCAGTTAGACGTGTGCAAACAACATGCATTCAAAGTGCGCTCAATTCAACTCAGTCTTGGTGGTTTGCGTTAATCAGGTGGTGGTGGCCTGGGATGGTATCAAAATTCCCGGCCTGGATTATTGTCCCAGTCCGCCCCCGTTATCAACGCTCCGTTCAGAAGCCTGCATCACTGATGGTATGGGGTTGCATGAGCGCTTGTGGCATGGGCAGCTTGCATGTCTGGAAAGGCACCATTAATGCAGAGAACTATGTTCAGGATCTAGAACAACATATGCTCCCATCTAGACGTCATCTCTTTCAGGGAAGACCCTGCATTTTTCAACACAATAATGCCAGACCACATTCTGCAGCAATCACAACATCATGGCTACGTAGGAGAAGGATCCGGGTACTGAAACGGCCAGCCTGCAGTCCAGATCTTTCACCTATAGAGAACATTTGGTGCATCATAAAGAGGAAGGTGCGACAAAGAAGGTCCAAGACGATTGAACAGTTAGAGGCCTGTATTAGACATGAATGGGAGAGCATTCCTATTTCTAAACTTGAGAAACTGGTCTCCTCTGTCCCCAGACGTCTGTTGAGTGTTGTAAGAAGAAGGTGGGATGCCACAGTGGGAAAAATGGACTTGTCCCAACTTTTTGGGGATTTGTTGACACCATGAAATTTGGAAACAACAGATTTTTCCCTTAAAATTATACACTCTGTTTAAACTTTTGATCTGTGATTTGTGCCAGGAAGGGCATCTGGCACATTAAAAAATAATAATTGTCACGTTTCTGTGCTAGTTAAATTTTCTGTGGCGATCCCTGAGGAAGGGAGCAACTGAGAAAAAACAAAAAGACTGGGTACACACACACACACGTAACTATGAACATATTATAATCCAAAAGAATCTTTATTTAAACTTGGTCAGAGGTATACCATCTTTAAAACATATTTAGAAGTATGTACAAGTTTGTTCACCTAATTGAAAACCTCTCATCTAAAACATAAAAAATTACAAAAGAGAAAAACAGGTAAAGAGTACATGATGGACATAAAAACATGGTCCGTGTCTCTGAATACAACAGACAGAGCATACAAACTTAAAGATCTATCCACCTGCAGTGTTTAGTCTCGGTCTCCAACATTCATTCAGCTCATTGCTGGAGGATTTAAACTCATGAAAAAAAATATATATAATAGAAAAACATTTAGGAACTTACCAACTTTTAGATCTTGTATTTTGAACAGATTATTTTGACTTCAGTTTTAGGACCGATTTTAACAATTCAACAGTAATGTTAGGAGGAATAACTGTCAAAAGGTCAGCTTCATCAAGAAAGTCAAGTTTCTTTTTTTATTGACAGCACAAAATTGGATTAAAAACAATGGGATGGGTATGAAAAGCATTGCCTCCCTTGAAACAAAAACAATTTCAAAGAGCATCTATGACCGACCGTGATTGAAGACTTGGGGAACAAAACTAGAAAACGAGTCTAACTCGCGGCAGAGGAAGGCTTGCTGACCAGCAGCTTCTCTACCATGAGCTTGGCGTAACGCATGCGGCTGGCCAGCTCCTTGCTGCAGCCAAACTCCTCCAGCAGAGACAGCTTGTACGTGCGGAAGTCCCGCTTCTCGTCAATGTAGGTCACCGCACCCATCAGAGGACACAGGATTAGCTTAGTGTGATCCTGAGAATAAAACAAAGATTGTGTGAAGAAAGCACAATAAGGCTTGCAGTGACATGAAAGCGGGGATTAAAGCAAATAATTCTTTGAGAATTTTTTTTGTTACCCAAGCATCACCATCCACCCCCACTCCCAAATCTGAGAGCTTCTATCTGCATAGCGGTCACGTCACAAAAATGTTCATGTAAAGAGGAGTAAATGCCCTGAATCACAGTATAATGTTCTGTAATGAAGGGCCGACTTCAAAACTTTAACCTGCAACATTAGGCTCTCAAGACCAACGGCATTTGGAAGGAAGAGAGGAATCATGCTACTAGTGCTTAGTGTATTTGTAGTTAACGTTTTTCTTAGTTCAGATCTTATTAGTTTTTCGTTTACATTTTATACTTTTGTTGGATGTAACTGGGACCCTGTGTACACAATTTTGTTCCACCATATGTACCACATGTGAGTCATGACAAATAAAGAACCTTGAATCCTTGAAATTGAACAGCTTTTCTGTTATTTACTTTTATGTCAATTTTTGGTGTTTTCAATTGAGGGATTGTCGGATATACAGTGTATGTGTGTGTATCCATCTAGATATCTATCTATCTAGATATCCATCTATCCATTGCAGAGTATATATTAACGTTAAAAATATACGTCCTGATGCATGCTCAATAATCCAGGTAGAAAAAATCTAACAACGTTAAGTCAGGTCCTCTGGACGATTGCAAAAAGTAGAAAATAAAAATGTATCATTTTAATTACTTTCCCGTTTCCATCCAGAGGACCTGACTTAAAATAAATAAATTAAATAAATTAAAAAAAAAAAAATTATATACATATATTATTTGGGCCATCTTGAGATTGTTTTTCCCTTAGAACAACTTTCATTCATAAAGTTTTAAATAAACAGGATTTCAGCACGTGATCACAGATCTCAATGAGATTTGCCTGGTTAAATAAAGGTTAATAAATAATACTATTTACTTTTTAATATTTGATCATTTATTGAATTAGTTATTACAGTAGTTAGCTCTCAGTATGGTTCTAAATATAAACCATCTTGGCTCATCCAAACAGCCACAACACCTCGTTAATTTTAAAAATTCTGTGTAGACTTGAATTTGTAGACATTTATGATAAAATACAAACGCATGAAACCAACACTCACAAACAACTGAAACGGAGACGCACATCTTTGCTTGAATCTGGGGCCTACAAATATGCGTCTTACTGTTAATTTTTGTTTAACTTTAGGAGCTAAAGCAGCAGAAACAGTCTCCTAAAGAGACTCTCAAACAGGCTGCGGGCTCTCTCTCGGACCAGACGTTATAATACAGGATCTGTAGAACAGTCGATGCGTTCACCTGCGCTCTAATTGAAGAACGCCGCTTACACCTGGACTCCCCATGTGTCAGACAGCACAATGCACCCTGCTCTGACTGGGTAAAACGATAATTCTGGTTTTCTGTATTTGTTGAAGGCAGCAGCAGTTTAATTCAAGTATCATTATAACACAACTAACACAAAACAAGCCCCCCTCACCCCCTTTTATTTTTACAGTTGATGCAAATTCATCATGTTCAAAACAGAAATCCGTCGTGGAAAGAGAGAAATGTATTATCCCTGCAAGAAAGTGTGGGGTTTAAGTTTCGCAGCTAACCTGGAAGAAGTTAATCTGGACCGTGCCGTTGCTGAGGTGCAAGACGATGGCACTTTTCGTTCTAAACCAGAGGGACAAGTAAGGCAGTCGCGCCAGCTCGTCTCCATCCCGCCGCGCCATGTTGGCGCCGGCTTTCAGCAGGTGCTCGCTCATGTAGTTGCGGAAGTATTTCAGCAGCGTTATCTACAACAAAAGAAATCGGAGTTACTTTCACAAGATGCTGCCTACACATATCAAACACTACGCTTACTAATTTCTCTCTCACACACAGTCAGATCTTCTACCGACCTTTTTGTTGAGGGCAGAAGGAAAAGAGCGAACACTGAGGTAGGATTCAGCAGCCGTCTTATCGATGTACTGCAGGCTGTCTCCATCGGCGTACATGATGAGACGGGTGTAATCGTTGAACAGAACACCCACACTGTTGTCACACAGCTGGTAGCCTTTAAAAAAAAATATATACATTTAACAACAAGACACTTTTTAAACAAGCATTCACACTTCAAAACCATTGTACACTGTACAGGTCCTTCTCAAAAAATTAGCATATTGTGATAAAGGTCATTATTTTCCATAATGTAATGATAAAAATTAAACTTTCATATATTTCAGATTCATTGCACACCAACTGAAATATTTCAGGTATTTAATTGTTTTAATACTGATGATTATGGCATACAGCTCATGAAAACCCAAAATGCCTGTCCCAAAAAATTAGCATATCATGAAAAGGTTCTCTAAACAAGCTATTAACCTAACCATCTGAATCAACGACGTAACTCTAAACACCTGCAAAAGATTCCTGAGGCTTTTAAAAACTCCCAGCCTTGTTCATTACTCAAAACCACAATCATGGGTAAGACTGCCGACCTGACTGCAGTCCAGAAGGCCATCATTGATGCCCTCAAGCAAGAGGGTAAGACACAGAAAGAAATTGCTGAACGAATAGGCTGTTCCCAGAGTGCTGTATCAAGGCACCTCAGTGGGAAGTCTGTGGGAAGGGAAAAGTGTGGCAGAAAACGCTGCACAACGAGAAGAGGTGACCGGACCCTGAGGAGGATTGTGGAGAAGGGCCGATTCCAGACCTTGGGGGACCTGCGGAAGCAGTGGACTGTCTGGAGTAGAAACATCCAGAGCCACCGTGCACAGGCGTGTGCAGGAAATGGGCTACAGGTGCCGCATTCCCCAGGTCAAGCCACTTTTGAACCAGAAACAGTGGCAGAAGCGCCTGACCTGGGCTACAGAGAAGCAGCACTGGACTGTTGCTCAGTGGTCCAAAGTACTTTTTTCGGATGAAAGCAAATTTTGCATGTCATTCGGAAATCAAGGTGCCAGAGTCTGGAGGAAGACTGGGGAGAAGGAAATGCCAAAATGCCAGAAGTCCAGTGTGAAGCACCCACAGTCAGTGATGGTCTGGGGTGCCATGTCAGCTGCTGGTGTTGGTCCACTGTGTTTTATCAAGGGCAGGGTCAATGCAGCTAGCTATCAGGAGATTTTGGAGCACTTCATGCTTCCATCTGCTGAAAAGCTTTATGGAGATGAAGATTTCATTTTTCAGCACGACCTGGCACCTGCTCACAGTGCCAAAACCACTGGTAAATGGTTTACTGGCCATGGTATTACTGTGCTCAATTGGCCTGCCAACTCTCCTGACCTGAACCCCATAGAGAACCTGTGGGATATTGTGAAGAGAAAGTTGAGAGACGCAAGACCCAACACTCTGGATGAGCTTAAGGCCGCTATCGAAGCATCCTGGGCCTCCATAACACCTCAGCAGTGCCACAGGCTGATTGATATTAATGATCTTTTCTTTTCTTATTTCCAAAAGGCAAGTGATCTCTTCCTCCTCGTCCGTTGACACCATGACTGAAATTGTGACAAATGAAGGAATTTGTCACGATCTAATTAAAATCATGTCCAGCGTGGCTGAGGGAGGGTCTGGAGATTTCCTGGTGGGCTGGTCTGATGTGTGCGCTGCAGGGCCAGTGCTCACTGTGGTTTTTTAAAAACTTTTTATTAACAATATATAAACAAAACACCGCTGCCACCTCGTTTTGTTTTTTTGCGACCTGTCAATCAATCCAGTAGGTGTGTCAGCAAATGACCAATCGGCGACCTCAATTTGTCCCAAAGGTAAATGCTCCTTGCCTGCAGCCGCTTAGGGTGGACGCTCGAGTATGAAGTCTCAGCCGTCTGCAGACAGAGAGCAGTTTCCGCACGGACTGAAGTCTGTCGAGTCTGTGGGAGCATTTATAATGCACTTTTAGGCCTGATAGTCATTTTCACACCCATCAGGAATTTCATTCATGTCACCAAGTGGCTCCTCTGTGTCTCAGACTAACAAAGACGCTAATGTTTCCCTATTGTGAGGCAATCTACATATGTATTTACCTCAGCTTTATAACTCAAACCCCACACTCTGTTCTTTGAATTGAGAAAGCCCCTCGGATGAGAAGCAAAATGTCTCGTTACAAATAAAATCCAACTGTTTTTGTCTTGAATTTTTTTTTTCTCCCAATGATTGTCAACTTTATTATTAAAGTGATTGGGACGGTACGGAATAAAAAAAAGTTTACGAAAATAATAATACTTAGGACAGCCGCCACCATTTTGTAGTTTTCTTTCAATAAGCCTACACTGTAACGCCAGTCAAAAAAGAACTTCACTACCCAGAAGCCAACAGTGCTACCAGCCGCTGCTTTCTGCCGAAATGGAGGCAAAGTTTCGATTTGATCCGGACCTGATTAAAAAAACTCGTTCCTTATTCATGGTGATTTTGGCCGAGAATTGGACCAGAACTACTTTAGAACATTGCAAGAGTGTGGGAAGGATTTATAAAGCCTTAAAATATGTATAAATACTAAAATAAATATAGAGTTCCTACTTCAGTTTTTCACATAATCGCAGGGGCGTCTGGAACGTATCCCCCGCGATAACGGAGGGACTACTGTACCCACATTTGGTTTTCATCGGCAGATAAAGAAAAAGTTTAACATTTCTGAATAGAGTGAGATACAAACTGAAATCAGGGTGTAATGTTTACCTAATCCATATTTATCCGAGTAGTCAACCCATTTGCTGATCCAGAAGATGGGGATGCATGCAGGATCTTCTGCTTCCCCTGGAATTACACAAAGGCAACAAGATCTCTACATGCAGGTTGACTTGGTTTTATTTTATTATTGTATTCAAGTAAACCTGGGTAATGTTCACCAGAATTGTTTAAAACTACCAGACACTGAAACGCCTGCACTGACCCTGCCTGATGAGGGCCCTCTCAGAGGGTTTGGAAGAATTGACAACTTCCAGCTGCTGCAGCATGTCCTTCAGGTGGCATTCTGAAGGTTCAATCTCACTACGCAGAGAACACAAGCATCATATTATTTACACCGTTAAAAAATGCACATTTAAAAAAAGAATTTCATCATAGTTATGAGACCATGTTAAACCAGCACCAACATGTCACCTTTGCACAGGCTCATCTTTCGCCTCCATTTTCTCCGGGCCACCTGAAAAACAGAAAAATGATCATGTCCATCTAAAAAACAGATGTTTAATTAAAAAGGTATTTAAACAAATTAACTTCACCTTTCTTTTTTTTACCCCAGGGCAACTAAAATTATATTCATTCATTCAACCTTTATTTATACAGATTAGTCCCATTGAGCCTCGGGGACTCATTTAAAAGAGACCTGATTTTAATAACTGTAGAAGAACAAATGAAAGAAGCTGAAAGAATTGCTTAGGGGGGGAAAACAAAAGCTCTTTGTTGTGGTGGACATTCATTACCTTGGTTGTTCAGAGCAGTCAGAGGGCGTCGCTGGCCGAGCTCTGTAGCTGTGGAGGGGGCGATAGAGAATCGCGGGGGCACGGTGAGACATGTAGTGGGCAGACGCAGAGGGATGTAGCCTGTTGTCAAGAACTCGTCAGTTTGGAGCTCAGCGATGGTCGGTCTCTGGGCAGGGTCTGCGTGCAGCATCCTCTTAATGAGAGCTGAGGCAGATGGGTTGACATGCTGCAGACAAAACAGCAAATTACACATATATATATATATACACACACACATTTAAAATGTATATATTTCAGGAAGAGACTGTTATGTACTCTATCCAGTCAGCTTACCCAGGGGATGGTGTAGCTGTTTTTCTTGATGCGATTGTAGGTCTCCTTCAGACAGGAGGTTTCAAATGGAGGCTTACCCACCAACAAAGTGTACCTGAGGGAACAGATGAGGTGCAGGCTTATTGTACTCCATCACTTCCAATATTTGTGCGTTTCTGGTTTTACACTTACAATATGCATCCAAGTGACCAGACATCCACCTCATAACTGTGGCCTTTTTTACAAAGCACTTCAGGAGCTATGTAGTTGGGCGTTCCACATAAGGTCTTCTTCCGTTCGCCATCAAACTCAATCTTAGTTGCCAAACCAAAGTCCCCTAAAAGAAGAAGAAGAAAAAGGGTTTGTACATAGTACAGCAGGACACTGTAACCCTCCACTGAAGGCAATTGTTTTGCCGGTTTGCATTGTTAGCAAAATATCTCAAGCAGTAAACACATTTGACAGAAATGCTAAATGCTCCTCTTCTCGGAGCCTATCTTCCAGTCAAAGGCTGTTAATGGTCCCACTGACTCATTCTAAGAGCAGAGGGGATAAAGCTTTTAGTGCTGTGGAATGTGCTGCCTTGATTCTCTTAATACATTTAAATAGCAGCTGAAGACACATCAGATTGGCTTTTAATTAGTTGTATTTTGTCTTATGTCACATGTATGTTGTTATAGCTCTTCTGTTTTATCTTGTGTTTTTATGTCTTATAGTCTGTAAAGCACTTTGTGGTTTCTGACCTGTAAACGGTCAACAAAGTTTACTTACTAAAAAAAAAATCATTGGGTGTACATCTACAACTAACTGAATGACTTCTTTGAGTCGCACCAATTTAAAATGGCTGCTATAACTGAGCCATTTTACAGATAAACTTTTTTTGTTGTCGTTGGATGCAACTGGGACCCTGTGTACATAGTTTCATTCCACCTCATGTACTGCATGTGATGTGAATGACGATGTTAAAAATCCTTGAATCCTAAAATTTGGTGCAGTTTAGTAAATGAGGATTATTCAACACATACTCTGAGCAGTGTGGTGACCATCTAGAAGGCGGGTGATATGCATTCCTTCAAGGAGCGCCAAGTCTGAACTTTTAATCCTTGATTAATAGTATCCTTTCAGCCTGGAAGTTTGATCCTTCGTTGATGAACTAGAATGTTTGTTTGTGCTGATCTGTGACATTTTTACACAAGTGTGGTGCAACTAAACAACTATGGGCGAGGTATATTTCAAGGAAAGTACCTATCTTGACATCCATGTCATCATTCAGGAAGATGTTGCCCAGTTTCAGGTCTCTGTGGATGACTTTGTTGTTGTGCAGGTACTGGACACCCTTCAGCAGCTGGGTCATGTAGTATCGAGCTTCAGGCTCTGTCACAGCCTTACGACGCTTGTGCAGCTCCAGCAGAGACTGGAAAACAACAAAAAAAAAAAACATTTTCAAGAGAATATATGTTTTTGTTGAGCGACTTATGATGCTCAGGACGGTAAAAAAAAAATGTTGAGATGAAAGGTTTCTGTAAAGTTGGGGTCGTGTTCAGAACTCCATTGATTTTCTTGTTTAATTTAAGCATCGCATTCTGAACAGGCTGAGGACAAACGGAAGAGACAGGCCGCCATGTTAACCGCCCGCCTTCGTAGGGAAATAAGTGGTTTTTTTTGTTGTTCACTCACCCTTCTCCTGCAGATTTCCAGGACCACAAAGACGAAGTCGTCGTCTTCGAAGAACCCGTGGAATCCGACGACGTTCCCGTGATTCAGGCTCTTGTGAATGGCGATTTCCGAGGTCATCTTTTCCCTCTGGTGCTGCTTTAAGATCAAAGCTTTGGGAACTATTTTGCCAGCGAAAACCGTCTTTGTCTCCATGTCTGTAATTTCGTAGCACTTCGCGAAGCCACCTTTTCCGAGGAATCTTCCCCTCGTGTATCTTTTCATGGTGCGTGGGTCAACCAGAATATCTGGGATTTCTTTGAGAGGCGCCGATTTCGGATCCACATGTCCCGACGGAAGCGCCGGTTTTGCAGTACCAGCACTCATGTTGTATTAAAATAATGTACAGTGTACTTACTAAAAATGTTTCACCCCTGCAGTCCACGTAGAGACGATAGCTGCAATGGCCTGACTTTTGTTAACCCGAAGTCAACCGACGTTTAGCCTGGGAAGCTAGCTTTCTTCAATACGCTTCCCGATTTGAATCAAAACTTGCGTTTACTTCTTTTGGACGAAAGCGTTGATTCACAGTCAATTATAAAGTTAAAACTAGTGCATTCACACTGAAATGAAAGTAATAATCCGCGGTAAACATGAAAAAAAAAAAATTCGACAGACGACGGCGGTGCCTGCGTCCAGTCCTGCCTTTTGAAAACAGTTAAGACAAATTTTAAATGCTTGCGTCTCTCCGTACGGCGCTCTCTGATTGGTCCGCTTGATTTGAATTCCAGCAAAGCATTCTGGGAAGAAACATATCAAATTAGCCAATCACTGAAAGGAGCCGTGTTTTTCCCACGGCCTGATTGGCTCATCATACCGCACAATTTACGTCATTTTTCTTTTTATGTGCTCATGGGAAATGTAGTGCAAGTGGTCTTTAAACGCAACTAAGTGCTTTAGAAAAATGTCATTTCAGATTAAAAATGTGTTTTGTTTTCTACTTAAATTATGTGTAAAGTATAGTAAATTATTCTATGATAAAAATGAAAAGACAGGACTTCCCCCTGTCTTACTAAATTACAAAATGTGTGCGAGGGTCAAACATTAAAGGTGGCAATGCAATAAATGAAATTTATTTTAAATTAAATACATTTTTTTCGACTTTTCTCAATTATAAAAGCTTCTAATAATGTTGATTATATGATTGTACTTCAAAGCCTTGGCTAGTTTTTAAATTTAACAGATGAGATTTTAGGTTTAGCACATTTGAATTCCTGCAAATGAGTTTAACAAAATTTAAATTCAATTCAGTTTATTTATATAGTGCCAAGTCACAACAGAAGTCATCTCAGGGCACTGAACAGAAACATCCATATACATAAAAGTAAGTTAATAACATTATTTATGAGGAGCAAGCCGATTGCTTTGAGTCTTAACTTCCTATTGATTTTATACCAAATAAGTATTTTATTTTCCCATTGTTCAAAATTGTGATTTGTGTATTCTTATAGTTTCTTCTTAAAAAATACCATCCATCTTTTTTATTGGCATTTTAAAAATATTACTAACAAAAATAAGTGCAGGTAAACAAATATGCTTTTATCCTATTCCTTTACAAACGTTGAAGCTCGGCACAACAGTTATTGCCATTTTTTTTTAATGCAATATTTCCTGCGTTGATTCTCAGTTGCAATGTTGATATTCATATATGTTGCTCACCTAATGACGTGTCATTCCAAAAAAATTTTTAAATGTATTTACCAGCAGTCTACATAAAAATCTAACATATTTAACATGTTGCCAAAAAAAAAAAAGGAGATTACAGCTGCAGAAAATAATTTAGGTTCTGATATCAGAGGTTTATGATTTTATACCAAATAACATCATTTGTCTGTTACAGTACAGCACTGTAGTCCTGAAATCCAATTTAATTTACTTCCCACTAGATGGGAGTAGTGGACATATTTACAGTTGCATAGCTCAAATCCACTGGGGAACAGCTGTTGCACATTAATCAGCTGCAGTTACACTCAGTGGACAGACTTTTCTCTGTCACAGAGATCCACACAGAGATCTACAGATGGCTGAGCATTTTCAACTGACGTTTGGAAGCTCCAACATAATTAATCAGAAATCAAATACTAAGCCATGCTTTCCTCTACGACAAAATACACATTTATGTTTATATACAAACCGGATTCCAAAAAAGTTGGGACACTAAACAAATTGTGAATAAAAACTGAATGCAATGATGTGGAGGTGCCAACATCTAATATTTTATTCAGAATAGAACACAAATCACAGATCAAAAGTTTAAACTGAGAGAATGTATCATTTTAAGGGAAAAATCTGTTGTTTCCAAATTTCATGGCATCAACAAATCCCAAAAAAGTTGGGACAAGTCCATTTTTACCACTGTGTGGCATCCCCCCCTTCTTCTTACAACACTCAACAGATGTCTGGGGACAGAGGAGACCAGTTTCTCAAGTTTAGAAATAGAAATGCTCTCCCATTCATGTCTAATACAGGCCTCTAACTGTTCAATCGTCTTGGACCTTCTTTGTCGCACCTTCCTCTTTATGATGCACCAAATGTTCTCTATAGGTGAAAGATCTGGACTGCAGGCTGGCCGTTTCAGTACCCGGATCCTTCTCCTACGTAGCCATGATGTTGTGATTGCTGCAGAATGTGGTCTGGCATTATTGTGTTGAAAAATGCAGGGTCTTCCCTGAAAGAGATGACGTCTAGATGGGAGCATATGTTGTTCTAGATCCTGAACATAGTTCTCTGCATTAATGGTGCCTTTCCAGACATGCAAGCTGCCCATGCCACAAGCGCTCATGCAACCCCATACCATCAGTGATGCAGGCTTCTGAACGGAGCGTTGATAACGGGGGCGGACTGGGACAATAATCCAGGCCGGGAATTTTGATACCATCCCAGGCCACCACCACCTGATTAACGCAAACCACCAAGACTGAGTTGAATTGAGCGCACTTTGAATGCATGTTGTTTGCACACGTCTAACTGAATACCTACATAAATCTTTCTTCTGTGGTGCAATAATCCGTCCTCAAATCACATAAACTGAAATTATGTTGCCCTATATTTTGCTATGCATAAGCCCTTTTAAAATCACTAGGAATATGACAGTCAATCATAGTTTCATACAACAAATGAGAGATCGTGTTGTACTCATCCGCGGCCAGAGCTTTTCTCTTTTTTATCCTCTCTCTCTCTGCTCCACCTTTCCTCTTCTTTGGCTGTCTCTGTTGCTCCATTCTACAACTCAGAGATGCACGCACCGCGCGCCAACACCGTTGGGAGCGCGAGTCCTAGGGCGGGGAGGGGGGCGGGCGCAATATGTGTGTGTGTGTCTCTGCTCTGTGACACACAGAAAAGGAAGGGAGGGGGCCGGCCCGGCCGGTGGATGTGCCAGGCTTTCTCCGTCGCTGCAGTGCAGCGTGAGACCTGAGCCCAGGCAAAAGTGAATTGTTTATTTAAAATAATAAAGTCCGTGCGACCCGAACCGAGCCTTTAGTCCCGTTCCTCGGCAACCAGGCCACCGGGAAGTGTCCCGTCGTGCCCGACGGTGAATCCGCCACTGGTTGATAACAACTTGGGCTATCCTTGTCCTCTCTGGTCCAGATGACATGGCATCCCAGTGTTCCATAAAGAACTTCAAATCGTGACTCATCTGACCACAGAACAGTCTTCCATTTTGCCACACTCCATTTTTAATGACCCCTGGCCCAGTGCAAACGTCTGAGCTTGTGGAGCTTGCTTAGAAATGGCTTCCTCTTTGCACTGTAGAGTTTCAGCTGGCAACGGCTGATGGCACGGTGGATTGTGTTCACTGACAATGCTTTCTGGAAGTATTCCTGAGCCCATTCTGTTATTTCCTTGACAGTGGCATTCCTGTTTGAGGTGCAGTGACGTTTAAGGGCCCTGAGATCACGAGCATCCAGTAGAGTTTTACGGCCTTGACCCTTATGCACAGCGATTGTTCCAGATTCTCTGAATCTTTTGATGATGTTATGCACGGTTGATGATGATAACTTAAAAGTCTTTGCTATTTTATGCTGGGTAACACCATTCTGGTATTGTTGCACTATCTTTCTGCACAACGATGGTGGAATTGGTGATCCTCTTACCATCTTGGATTCTGAGAGACACTGACACTCTGAGAAGCTCGTTTTATACCCAATCATGTTGTCAATTGACCTAATTAGTGTGAATTGGTCTTCCAGCTGTTCGTTATATGCTCAATTTCCTTTTTCCAGCCACTTATTGCTACTTGTCCCAACTTTTTTGGGATTTGTTGACACTGAAATTTTGAATCAACATATTTTTCCCTTAAAATGTTACATTCAATTCAAATTCAAAAATACTTTATTAATCCCAACGGGAAATTATTTGTTGTTTTAACTCGTTATCCTAATTTCATTAAGAGATGTTATAGATACTGACGGCTGTAGACAGGAAGGATCTCTTGTAAAGGTCCATCCCACAGTGGATCTTAAGAAATTGACTGCAGATGCCGTCTGATCTGTCCCCACAGACTCGACTGGCCTCTTGGTTCCTCCGGGCTGTAGGACCGCCCGAATGCCGGGCAGAACTCCTCCCAGAGCGATGGCTACTCCTCCCAGCAGTCTGTCGAGCTCCTCGTCGCTGCGGACAGCCAACTGTAAGTGACGAGGGACGATCCTGTCCTTCCACTGTCATGAGCCGTTTCCTGCTAGTTCCAGGTTCTCATGGGTCAGGCACTGGAGCACAGCTGGCAGGTAGATGAGAATGTGTTCACAGAACATCCTTTCAACTCATTTGAGATTTGGGGCTGTAGTTGAGATGTTATTTGAGCTTTTGAGATGTTAATCAGCTTCTGTTGGTTTTAGAAAACTGCCTTGTTGCCATGGTTACGCATCATAACAAATGTCCAAAACTAAAAAAGTTTCCGTAAAAATCCTTCCGGCTGCACAGCATCTGATACAAGAGGAAACAATCATCCAAAAAACGTAATTTACATCCAGAAAAGGAGGAATTAAAGTTTCCAAAAGCAAAATCTCAGAATGAAAGTAACAGAGCTGCTCCAACATGCAGCCACCCTGAGCGGCGCAATACTCATTTACTCAGATTAAACTTTTGATCTGTCATCTATGTTGTATTACGAATAAAATATTGACATTTGCCATCTCCACATCATTGCACTCAGTTTTTATTCGCAATTTGTTTAGTGTCCCAACTTTTTTGGAATCCGGTTTGTATATATATATATATAGTATATACACACACTGTTTTTTCCCGAGAGAAAAAAGTTTTTCTAATATGTCATGTTGGTTAAATTTTCCGAAAACGAAACACAATTTAACCCTAAAGGTTAACCAAAAACATTCATTCAACCTTCATTCAAGACCCTTTTGCCAAGTTCAGTCCGCACTGAGGGAACACTGCAGGTAATAATGTCCTGAGAGCGCACGCTGTAGCTGCACTCACGCAGAGACATGTAGGAGGAGATGTATGAAGGCAGCAGACCAAGAAGTGTTAAAGATGAAAATGTACCAGTGAGAGAGTCTGTGTGAGGTTAATGATGACCAGTTAACCAGTGCATGCATTAACATGCATGTTGGGCTGATGGGTACGGTGGCCCTAAGGTGTAAATGAACATTCGAAAAAACAATTACATTTGAGAGATTTTTTTTGTGAAAAAACGTAATTACATTAAGCCAAAGCGGAAGTGGCCGGAATTACATTAGAAAAAACTGAATCACATTATAAAAAAATGAAATTATATAATTTTTGATTAAAAAAAAAAATTTGTTTCAAATGTGATTCCAGCCACTTCTGCTTTGGCATTATGTAATTACATTTTTTATAATGTAATTCTGTTTTTTCAAATGTTGTTCATTGACACCTCAGAGCCGCCGCAGATTGGTCATTGTCCCTAGGCGTGAGAGAAGAGTGGTCATTTGTCTCACTTTGTGGCCCTGTGATGGACTTGTAACATGTCCGAGGTGTCCAGCAGGTAAAGATGATGAATGGTTTAGTTCTAAATTAAGGACATGAAATGTTGTGAACATTTAGTATCTTACTTGTTTCAGATGGCCCATCGAACCAGTTCATAAACGGCCTCAATTTAATGACGAGCTAATCCTAGTCCAAATAGGACTAATGATGCTGCTTTTGTTAAATTACCTTAGTATCAAATTTGTAGCCGTTCTTATGAATTGCTATTTTATAAATCTTTACTTTGCTGTCATTTTCACTTTAAGTAGGTATATGCACAAAAAATGAAAGCTGTAACCTTGAGTTCTAAGGAAATTATATTTCTACATCCATTTTTCCCCTAAACAACCATGTAATTAAGCGGGTAAAGAATGGCTGGATGGTGTTCTTTGAAAATATTAGAATGGACACAATCGGTGTCATTCTTGGCCCTGGTGTGACTGTTAGCATATCAGAACTATCCACTGTCCAAATGTTATCTACCACAGGTAAGATGTTTATAATCTTTCCACACAATCCAGTTAAAAAAATATGAACTATTCCTTGAACGTGTTTTTTCCATGTACGTACAGAGGTCTGTTGGTCTGGGGACAATGTTTAATTAATAATATTAAAGCACAAGGCAGTCCCTAAAATGCCCTAAACACAGTGATTTTAATACATGGACACTGGTAGTGTCATTGGCCATAGCATCATTTAAAAAAAAATGATGCCTGGAAAAACAAAATAATGTTTTATATTAAAAAAAAAGGTCCATGCTCAATAATCCAGGTACACAATTCAAGAATTTTCCATCAGGTCATCAGGACAGTTATGTTGGTGCTAAGATGGTGTATTTGGCACGCCCCCTCTGGACAGTTTCTGTCAAAACATAACTGGTTTGTTCCACTTTGGAGGAAGCTGTTTGGGGGAAGAATCAGTTTTGTGTTGTGTGTTTCCTTGACTGATGAAGCCTTCTGGATAGAAATTGAAACGTTTCAGCAAAAAAAAAAAAACTGTCCAGATGACCTGACTGAAAATTGTTGGAATGTTTTATATTATTTATAAACTACTGAACTCAAAAGTTCCAACTGCGACTTCATCATTGTAACCCCGTACACAAATAATTATTTTTGTTTACTTTGTTATGAACAAAAAGTTTAACGTAGCTCCAGGAGCTGTTTTAAAAGAAGATATAAACCAGCACATTTCACAAACTTTAAATAGAAGTTTTATTACAAATTTGGGCAAAACTTTTTTTGCTTTAAATATAACATGGATTAACAATATGAAACAATTAAAACAGCAGCAGAATAAAAACAAATCAGGACGCAGTCGTCTAAAAAGTTAAGATGGTACAGCGCGTGTGCAATCCAAACATATTCACATCGAACGGATTTATATTTTTTAGCTTGTATTTTTGGACACGTGTACTGTGTTCAGGTTTTAGCATTGAATTTTTTTATTATTTTTTTTAAAGTACAGTAGCCAACAATAACCTGTACCAGAATTTAGTTTTTAAAAGCCCATTTAGTGAGATAAACCAGGGCAGAAACTAAATGAACTTTAGATCCTCCCACTTCACTTCTGATTAAAAGACGTCTTTAGAAGCGGAGTAAAGAAACGTCTCCGTTGTGATGTCCCATCACCAGCGTGTCTTCTCCCCCCCATCGAGCCAGCTGCCAGTCCTCGCCCTCCGGAGCCTCCACCATTCGGGACGTTTGTTTTCCGAGCTCCCACACACAAACACGCCCGCTCTGGTTCAGGCCCATTACGCAGGAGCGATACACGTCAGCTTCACACAGCCTGCAGGGCACACGCATGATTGCACCGCAAGAAACATAAACTCAAAGTTTGTCTTTCGATGTTTCTCCTCTCACCTGCCAGACCAGGCTTTGGGTGGATAGAGTCGAGAGGCCAGGACGGATTTGCCATTCAGAGGGTTGATGCCGACCAAAGAGAACAAGGCCGTCTTCGTCTCGACCTCTGAAAGTGTCTGATCTTTGATCATTGCTTCTTCTTCATCCAGAGAGCTCAGGAACTGGTGCTGCAGCAGGACCATCAACACTCCCTGCACAATGAAAGCAGGAAGTAACACTAAAAACGACTAAGTTCCTGGAGAAACTGACAGGGACTGCCACGTTGCAGACATTTTGAAATTTTGACTTGACAGTGCTATGTGCTGGAGTTCGCTCTCAGCTACCACCATGCTTAATTTCAGCTCAACATGGCAACAAATCAATGACGGTCACTTGTTCTTTTAAGCTATGGTGGCCATCTTGGATTTTATTTTTTTTTTAATTTAGATCCAGTATGTGGTTGGGAACGTTCTCAACTATAACCACCAAATTTCAGTGCTTCACGTGTAAGAATAGTGGAGTTAAAACCATTTGAATGCTGCTTTGGTGGCCATCTTGATTGTTTTATTTGAATTCACTATTTATTGGGCATTGCTCTCAGCTACCGTCATACCAAATTTCAGCTTAATATCCCTACAAAAAGGCTAATTTATAGTATTTTTTTCCTTTTTGCTCATGCGGCCATCTTGGATTTTTGATTCTTCTCAGCTACCAATAGTCCTCACTACTTTGCAGTTCAACTTTTGCAGATCCGCTCTTTTGCGGTTTTTCACAGTACAGTACAATACTGTACTGTGAAAAACAATACTGGACAGTATTGTACTTTATATATATTCAGCTATAAAACAGCTGAGTTATATCCATTTGAAATTAGCTTCGGTGGCCATCTTGGATTTTTAGATTTAACTTCAGAATGTGTCACCGTCCGCTACCAGCACACCAAATTTCAGCTCTGTTAAAATAGCTGCGTTATCATATTTTTTTCCCCTTTTAGCTAAGGCGGCCATCTTGGATTTTTTTATTTGTATCAGGAATGTATAAAAACTCGCTCTCAACTACAACCATACAAACTTTCAGCTCAAAATCTCAAAGAATGACTGAGCGACAGTCAATTTTGCGTTTACTGAGGTAGCTGTGGCAGCCATCTTGGATCAAAATGGCTCCAAAAGTTAACCAGAGTTTTGTTCAGAGACCTCACTGTGGCAGTCAGAGGCTGTGAAGAGTTCTGTCAGTGTTTTTCAATGAGAAAAATGGCGTCTTTGTTTGCAAATTATGTCGCCATGTTAACTCTGAATGCCTAGCACACATGATGGCACCGAGCCGGTCGTTTTGATATAACACTTGTGGGGGTGCACGTTGCAGTTCGGGGATGCATTAAAGTTGATAGAAGAGCAAGACCCTTGTCAGGTGGATAATAATAAGACGCTGCCTTCAGGCAGCCCCCAGCTATGGTGCAACAATCATTTGAACAAAGACCGACTACTTACAGAGTGGGAGTAACCTCGGAGACAGGCTGTGTGTGAAAAACCAAAACCCAGCAGGACTCTGCACAGCAGCTGCCCACTATTTAAATTCCTTTAAAACAAAAACAAAATAAAGTTTACGATGAGCAACAAGCCTGTGACATCACTGCATGTGGACGGTTTTCCAAAGCTCTTGAGTGACTGACATCACACCATTGCTCAAAAACAAACAAAACACGGAGCGTTTCTCTGAATGTGATTCAAAATTTAACCTGCGGCTCTTTCATTTGCTACTTGAGGAAGAAGAAGAAGAAAAAAACACGAACACAAGTGGTTTTTTCTAAAAACGTTGACTGTTTTCAAAGTTCTGAAATACGAATAAGATGTTTCGCTGTAATTCAGCTAAGCTGCATAATACTAATTAATAGTATAAACAAATAAATAATAATAATAATATAAATAAACTAATAAAAAAAATAATAATAAATAATATAAACAAATAATTAATAATAGTATAAATAAATAAACCAATAATAATAATAATAATAAATAATTAAAATAAACAAATAATAATATTAGTTATCAGAAAGTTAGGGTTAGGTTGGTTTATAATTCTCCTGATGGCTGCAAACTTGAAACAAAATATTACAAAAAATGTCAACAAAATAGTCCCTTAGACTAGAGACACAAAAGTACAATACAAGAAGTTTTCAAGCGGGATTATTTGTGCCATTGCAGAAAACAAAAAATCTAACAGAAAGAAAACATTGAGCCAAAACCTATGAGGTAGAAATGTTGACATTTAAAACTAATTTAAGCTCGTCATGTTCAGACAACTGTTGTCTTCATTCCACTCGTCTACGGCATCACAGCAAACTACTAAACAGTAAAAGTTTAACTGTTGACCAATCAAAACTGGCAAAATATTTAATTTTTGCATGTTGCAATTGACGTGTCCCCAACTTTAGTTTTATCAGGCTACAGTTTAAATTAACATATAAGGGCACAAATGCAAAGTTTTTACTTTAAAATGCATTAATATTTATCGGCTTATCTTTGTATTTTCATTTTTGAACAATTGTGTAGATTCAGTATATTTTGTGTTATTTTTGTTCTACCATTATATTATGACAGATTTTTCTTCTTGTGTGTTTGATAACGATAGAACATCACAGATTTCTCTGTTGTGGGACAAAAAATAATAATTATTATATTTAATTCTTCTATTTTATTCTCATATGTGCAAAAAAAAAGCCTAAAAACCAGGAGAAAATATCAGAACTAAAAAAGCAAAAGCGGATATGATTTGATGTAAACCGATGTGCTGTAACTCGGCCCAAGCACGATCCTATTCCTACTTACCAGACGAAAAGGTGTCCGCCTTCATCGGTGCCGATCAGAGCATCGGAAAGCTCGTCCACAGGAGCGAGGGCGCCGACACAAACACCAGGAGACGCAAGAGGCTGACAACTCAAAGAGCTGAAAGAGACAAGGCGCTGAAACATGTGTCCGTCGGTGCAGTGACAGGACACGTGTGTGTGTGGGGGGGATATCCACAGCCTCACCTGCTGCTGTCCGACAGTGTGAACACCTGCAGGGTGGAGCCGGTCGCTGTGTGGGATGAGGCGACCACTCGGGACTTGTGCAAACCTACAACTACCTGCATGGTCCCCTCACATATGAGCATGTCAGTGAGGCTGCAGCACGACAGTAATCTGAGCACACACACACACAAACGATTAATTCTCTTAACGTCTTTATGTGAAATTAAACAAAGCAGTGGAGGATTCTCTTGTCAAAGCTGTTTGTTCAGAGTTTTAACTGCAGCAAACCTCAGAAATCTTTCAAAGACACTAAGCAGTGTCGGCACGAGCAGATTGATTTTGAACGCAAACTGACCCGTGTCAGGTCAACTGGACACTAAATGTTTAAATAAAACGCTCGAGTCACTCAGTCGTTCAATTCACCTCACTTCTCTGATTTCCAGCTGACCGAGAGTCACGCACACGAGGCCAGCTGTGTCTGGGACAGGGAACACGTTGATCACAGGCTGTAAACAACAACAGCAACAAACAAATGAAAAACTCTAATCTAATCCAAGCAATGAGTTAGATACAAGTAAAATATTTGACCTAATCCCTAAAATAAACATTGCAGAATGTGTCAATCTGTCAAGAGAGGCACGGTCTGTTAAATACTGTATTTTAACAAGTAAAATGTAAAATCAGCTGTAATCACACACAAAAAAAGCTTTTCCCTCTTAAATTTGAATAACCTTGAATTTAAACAGCTTCAGTGTCAAAATCCATGTAGATCGTGGTTTTCTTTGAAACTTTTCATGCAAGACAAAATAACTTGCCTCTCTGAAGGTCCAGGTGTGTTTAAAGCTCCAGTCAGAAGCTGAAGTCTGGCCCCAAAGGCACACGGCCCATTTTCCTGCTGCTGCTACAAACGATCCACCCGATGATCCAGGAAGACAGCATGCATCCACCAGAGAGCCTCCTGCTGCAGCCTCCAAACACACAAAACACCAACAGTTGACTCCAAAGGGAACAGTGTGCACGATGCTCTTTTTGTTGTTGTCAGCAAACAGTTGTGACTTGTCGTGATTCTAAACCGAAGAGAAACTGATGAAAAGGGTTGTGTTTTACCTTCAGCGTGTGTGTGCGTCTCACAGCACACCGCTCTGCAGGTTCCTCTGCCGTCGAAGCTTCGGGCTCATGCGAGCCGTGGAGCTGAACGCTGGGCGGACTTGGACACGCAGCAGGCTGGACTGTGTGACCCTGATCGCTCCCAGGCGGCAGCTCCGACGACTCCTGAATGTGACTGCATGTGGAGAGGGGAGGCAGGCTAGGAGGGAGGCAGGCGAGGGATGGGTAGGGAGGAGACGGAGCCTGTGTGGACGGACTGTGAGGAGGAGGAGGGAGGCTGAAGGATGGCGCAGCAGGGGAGGAAGTCAGAGGAAAGTGAGGGGTGATTCCTAAGGAGGGCAGCACCGGGCTGGAAGCTGGAGCGGGTGAGGATGGGTGAGACGGCATAAAGGAGAAGTTCACCGAAGCAGGAGGAGATTTCAAGGCAAGCTGAGAGCAATAAGGTCCACGTGTGGACTTACGTTCAACGAGTGTGTCTTTGGAGAGGTTTGTGCTGGGTTCAGAAGGATCTGCAAAAGGACACGGAGCATTTTTGTTACGAGCAGGCGACTCTACTGCTTCCGTCTGATTACAAGGTTGTAAAGAAATGGAGATCTTCGCAGGCTTCTCCTGAGTTTCAGTTTGAGAACGATCAAATGAAGGCGCCTCGGTGATAGCTCTGTTTTCTGCTTGGGTGCTTCTAGATAACTGAGCTTGTGAAGAACTAGTCCTTTCACGAAACTCTGTTTGTTTTTCAGCAGTTGGCGGCTCAAGTTCATCCGAACGTCCAGTGAACAGCGATCTGTCCACAGAGCTCTGCCGAGCGTTGAGTTTGTCACAGTTTATGGGTCCGTGTGTGCTTCTGATGGATGTGCAGCTCTGGCTTTGAGTGTTAGGAGTCCCAGTTTCGTGCTCCGTGCGCACACAGACCTCACAGTCTTGTGTCTCTGCACGGAGCTGCTGCTCCACATTCGCTTCTGGATTAATACTTTCAGACCCCACCTGGGTCGAGTCCTCGCTAATCGATTCATCTGCAAGGGCGCGTTGCGTCGACGAGTCCTGCAGCTGGTCTTCGTCACCAGCGCAGAGTCCGTCTGTAGCTGTCGGTGTGAGGTTGAGCGAGAACGGAAGAAACACGGTTGGATCGCCGACGCTGCGGATGCTGCTGCGCGTGTTGCGGGACGGTGTAGAGAACCGCTCAACTCCCGACGCCACGGCAACCTGGCGAAGTTTGTGCAGCTTCAGAGAGGCAAACTGGTCATCTGGGAGGTGGAAATCTTGGTGGAGGTCCAAGCTTTTGAGGTTGTTGACAAGCAGCGCGGGAAACAGGAAAGGAGGAGGAAGATGAGATGTTTCAGATGTTGAAGATGAGCGCAGGAGGAGAGATTGCCAGGGTGATGTGCCTGCAGGGACACAATGTGGAGAAAACTAAAGCTTGATGGAAGGTGGAGGGGTAACAATTATCTTACACATACATGTAAAAGGTGACCCAGCTTACACCATCATGGTCTGACTTGATTCAAGATCTTTTGAAGATTTAGTTGATCTAAAGTCGACTCCAAAAGTTCAACTAAATCTAGGAGCATAGAAAAAAAAAAAGCCCTTCTGCACGAGTGATGTCTTGGGAGAAGATCCGAGACAAAAATGCAACAAGTGATTATTTTTTTTCCTCACGATGAAAAGGTTTTAACTCCGTATAGTTAGTGTCCGAGCAACTTTATTGTCATTCTGCTACGTATGCAGCCGAACAAAACGTCCTGTCAAAACCCCAGTTTAAATGAAACCATTAAAAACAGGGTTTAAAAGTGAGCACCAAATCTGCACCATGTGATTTACCAGCCTTCGTGTTTTTTAAGTGATCACGGAGGCAGTCAAATATTAATGCCTTGCATCATATTGCAGCTAGATTTGAGCTTGTTTTGATCCGAGATAAGAAACGGCGATGATGCAAAGCATAGTTGGAAAAACTGAGCAATAATACACAACATTCAGCCATAAACTAAACCAATGCATGCTACTAGTATGAAAACACACACACTGTAATCTTACGTTTGGGATGGACTCTCTCTACATGTTGAGCAGCTTCATTAACTTGAGAAGAAGGTTGGGATGAAGAGCTGTGGGTTCCACCTGACTCTGGATCTGCCTCCTCTCGATTGAGGCAGGCGTTCGTTCCATCAGCTTCATGGACAGACTGGGAGGAAGACACGGAGGTGTTGCGGTGTTGTGAATCTCCTGATGTCCGAGGTCTCCCCCTGCCTCTACCTCTCCTCCTCCTTCCTCTTAGAGGACGAGTCATGGTCACTGGTGCTGAAAAAGAAGTTTTTGAGTCCGAATGGGTTGTAGTGATGGGATTGGAAATGTCACCGGAGCTCTGACTACACTCCACAGAAGCGTCAGCAGCCCACACGTCTACAAGTGTGGAGGGAGTGGTCAACGAGGAGAATACTGTCTGAGTGTGCTGATCGGAAATGTCCCGGGTGTGCGAGCTCCTGTTTGACGCTCTGCCACGACCTCGGCTCCTGCGGTGCTGTCCCATGCTCAGCTGGGACAGTGCGACGGCCTGCATGTCGGGCCGACTCTGTAAAATCGTCATGCGTCTTGTGGTTCGAACATAATATTCTGCTGGAAAGAGAAGCCCCTCGATTATTGTACAGGACTCTAGGAGACTTGCAGCTTTTCCCTCGTTTGTAATTTCTTTTTTTTCTTCTTTTATTTCCATCATATCTTCACAAGTCGTTTTACTTTTTACTGTTTCAGTTAGATTTTTCTCGCTATTTTCAATACCGTCCCCTTCACACGCCCTTTTTTCTTCCATTTCCTTACTAGCAGCACTATCCTCGTCAGTCTTAACTTTTCTTTTCTCATGATGCGTGACATTTCCCCCCCTCTCCTCAGTGGTTAAATCAGCCTCCTTTTCTTGTTGCTGCTGGTCTCTTTGGTCCTCTTTTCCCAGTTTATCTCCAGTTTCAGTGTGTTCTTGTGTGTTGCAGTGTGTTACCAGCAGAGAGGGAAACTCAGTAGCAGAAAACAGCTCTTCACTTCCGTTCACTTCCTCCCCTCTGTTTGACTCAACTGTTCCGAGTTCTTGTACTACCGTTTTAACACTTTCCATCCTTCCCTTTTGCTCCTGTCCTTGTTGGTTGCTGTGTGTGCTGCTGCCAGCCTCAGCACTCCTCCTCTCCAGGCGAAGGCGGCTGCGTCGTGAGCGAAGGCGCAGGGCAGAGCTGGGTCTGTGTCCTCCAGCGGAATCACTGCCAGAATCTGGGGTTTGTGGACCAGCAGCATCAGGGGGAAGCCGAAACCTGATTACCTGGTTTCTAATGGATTTATCAGAAGCTGCTGGACCTGAAAAAACATCAGATTGTGTGTGAATTTGGACAGTTAGTTTGTGTTTATGACAAATAGTATAAACTATTCTCAATGGCAAAAATTTTCTATGACAACATATGTGTACACAATTCTAGTTATGAAAAAGTTGGGACGTTGAGTAAAACGTAAATAAAAACAGAAAGAAATTATTAGAAAATTGCATAAACCTATATTTTATTTGAACTGACGCATAGTAAGCACATCAAATGTTTAAACTAAGTAATTGTATCATTTTTCATGCATGCGTTTCTGCATGGTGCTCATGGTGTTAGTCTGGATGACGGAAAGGATTAGATGAGATCAAGACAGGCTTACCTTCAGTGTGCCCCTGACATTGGGGTGTACCTTGAACCATCGCATTGTTTGTGTTCTTCATCGATAAGGAAGAGTTTGGTGTAACTTCCAGTTCTCTGTGCTCCTGATGGTTCTGCTGTGAAATCCTGTTTCTGACATGCCTCCGTACAGCTTCCAAACGCTCAGCTTTCTGTTTGTAGATAAACGCATCTGCACAAACCACTACTTTTCCACAATTTTCTTCTCAATATTTAGCAAAATTTGACAAGTCTCACCTGTAACCGCTGAGCTGTCTTGAGATACTCCCTTTGTAACTGTGCTAACTTCCTGCGAAGCTAAAGGAGGATCAAATAAACGTCAGAAGATGCACAGAGTCAAAGAGTGTAGAAAATCCCAAATGTACCTTCTCCTTGTCGTCACAGTGTAGTGTATTCTTCAGCTGCTCTTCACTGTGCTGAACATCCCCCACATTGATATCCATCTTGCTCAGACAGCACAATTTGACAATATAAGCCTTACAGATAACAACACGGATATGTCAACATTAGCATAGCATACGCCATTTAATTTGATGGCTAACGGTAAAATCACAACTCGAACTTTACTTTCGTTACAAAATAAACTTTAACAACCCACAGCAAGAGTTAAATATGTTTACAGAAAGAGGTACGTGAACGTAAAACTTACCTTTTACTTCATGTTTAAGTTTGCAGCAAGTTTACTGCCGCTTGTTCATCAGTTTGTTTTACAGTTCGACTATTCGGGCATTGATTTACTTCTCATTTCCCGCGACTCAAACAGACATTAAGAGTTGAACACAGAAAACTCGATCAGTGATTTCTTCAGATACATTTGATAACTAACTGTTGCATTTCACATTTTTAAAAATGTTTTTATACTTGTAATGTTTTGATATGTTCAAAAGCACGATTTAAAAAAAATTATATGGTCGTGCTTTTGATCACTTTCCCCCCAAAATCTTTATCAAAAAATGCACATAATGGAAGAACACTGAACATGTTCAAATGAAAGAGGAGAAAAAGAAAGTAAACAATGATAATAATAAACAATAAAATAAGATAAAATACAGAAATAAATGCGAGTTATAAAGTTACATTGCATTCATTACAGATATTTTTTGTTTTTATAGCCTTTTTGTTATTTGAGTCTGAGATTGAGTCAAAGTTTTACATCCATTACAAAGAGGTCAAAAAACAGTTTCCTATACATTATTTTACTTTTATGGATATGGAACTTGGCAAAAAACCAAGATCAGATTAATAATAAATATATGAGAGAAGTCTTTCGTCTTGAAATCGAGGATACCAATTTTCAAAATGGAGAAAGAAACCTGGTTGGATATTATTGGATATCAGAGCAACAATGTCCTTCCAAAAGTTCTTTAAGTATGTACATTTCCAAAAAAAGATGAATAGATGTTTCTGGATAAAGCTTACAGAAAGAACAGGAAATATCAATATCAGGTTTGTATTTCTGAAGAAAATGCTTTGTTGGATAAAATTCATGAATAAAAAAAAAAAAAACTTATTTGGCTTTATTAGTGAGGAAAAAAATTTGCAGGAGAGATTAAACTTTTCCCCAATTAAGATTCTGCACAAAAGTGTTCCAGCAGGAAACACAAGATGGGGATGAAACCAGATTTTCTTGACATAAAGAACAGATTTTGGAATTGACGCCTTTTAGTTGAGTTGAGAAACAGAACTGTTTTTATGGTCAGGAGGACTCAGACTGGATAGAAGAGAAGTCAACATCTTTAAACAACATGAGCAAATGGGATAGCATCAAATACATTCTCTTGGAGTGACAGGAACCTTGTACTGAGTAAAAATTATTCATAAAGAAAACCTTTGTTATTAAATAGTGGATTAATTTGAATAATACATAGTTAAACCATTTCTGATAAAATAACGACCTGTTTTTGAATATTATGTTAGAGTTGTTCCAGATGTAACACCTCTGCGGAGAAAAAATATGCTTATAGATAAGGGGCCAAGCTAAACCTGGAAGTTGGAAAGCTTAGTGGGTATTTTTGGAATACTGTTATTACACAGGAGAACAAACTCTAAAATGCCTAAATGTGAAAAGACATGCTGTGAAATTATAGAGTTCTGTTTTTACTATTCTTAGTGATACTGATACCCAGGTATGTTACAGAATCTTTGACAGAGATGCCACAAATAGAGGAGTGTGTGCAATTATTCACTGACGACAGTTCACACTTATTAAGCCACATCTGGTGTGGTGGTAGCTAAGAGTCATCCTCACCACATTATTCATCATAACTCTAAAAATCCTTTAAAAGTTTTGTTGTTTTCTCAATATAAAAGCAACACATTTTTCTTTTTCACATTTTGTCACAGCTTGGATCATTTTTTTGGACACAACTTTATTTGCTGAAATGTGTCTTAAGTGGTGGCTTTAGGAGTTATAAATGAAACATTTTGATAAGTAAAGATTTAAGACACGATGACAGTATTTTAAAATTGACTGCTTTGATGTGCAAGTTACAAATAAGATGTGATACTGCTGTTCACATTTTCCGGGGTCGTACTTTAGATTTTAACACATCAACGGGACTTAGCATCTCCAAGGTCATTGTGAACGATGTTACTGATCTGTTGGATCATTCGTGTGTCTTTTTGAGAGTTTTGTCACTGTGCACAGAGCAGGTCAGACACAAATGTTCACCAAAAGCAGTGTTGTAATCTAACCAAGTAGAAATACTTTGTGTAGAATTTTTGAAGTATCTTTACTTTACTTCGTTATTTACATTTCTAGCGACTTTCACTTTTGCTCCACTACATTTCTTCAATAAAATGTGTACTTTTACTCAAATAAATTTCCCTTAACCATCTTAGTTACTCATTCCTGAAATACAAAATTAGAAGAAATCTGATTGGGCAATGCCTGTTTGTTCTCCTAGTCTGTGACTTCACGTGGCCTCTCTCCCTCAATGTGCACTGCAGCTCCCGCTGTGAACAAACTAGATGCAGATATTAATCGTTACAATATGTCTTTGATGACTCACAGTGGAGACGCTGTAAGTTCCTGATAGGTGTGAAAATGACAATAGCTGCTAAAAAGGAGAGGTTGGGTGTTCTCCAGGACATTAACTGCTTTAGAGCAGCAAGGTATGAAGTTGTTGGGTCACTAGTCTTCCCATTAAAGAACACAGAGACAGATATCCAGTTTATGGTGATTTATTTGCTGTGTTTCTTCTGGTATTTACACACAGCAGTAAACCAGTAAAGCATAAACAAGCTTGAACAACAAGGCTCCATCCGTGTCAGGAGAGAGAAAAAAACTCCAACTGAGCTCTGCACTTTACACAGAGTGGTGCGTTCACTAGCATCGTAACAGCCACGTTGCATTCAAAAGCATAGGAACTATTATATTCATAAAGAAACAAGGCATAACCAAACAGAACCGAGCTCAGTAAAGAAGCCAACTACACAACAATGTGGACTTTCTACCAGCTTTGTTAATAAAGGTTAATAAAGGTTAATAAAGGTTGAATGAATATACTTCATTAGAATCAGACTTTTTAAAGATCAATCTTTCATTGTTCAGTTCAAACTTTCCAAGTTTTTGTCACTGGATACTACACCCAATAAATGTTGTTATGGAAATTCTAACCATTTACTTTTACTTAATATTCTGACTTTAAGTACATTTTATATGAGAAATTTACTTTTGATACTTAAGTAAATTAAATCTCAGATACTTTAAGACTTTTACTCAAGTAATATATTTTTTTAAGATATTTTAAAATTTACCAAAGTAATTTTGTGGTACTTTCACTCAAGTATGGCTTTGAGGTACTTTATACAACACTGACAAAAAGTTACATCACTGAAAACTCAAGTGATCAGTTTGTCTAGGCCAAATGTAAAAAAAAATCAATAAATGTTGACAATCATTGGATGTTTTTAGTTTTATAATTTCACGCCAGAAAAGCCCCCTCTAGCAAACTTTAAGTGGCCCATGGGCCACCAGTTGATATTGACCATTATAGCAGGTTTTGCGGCTCTGGACACGTTTAATTTAGTGAACGAAGGGGCAGAAATGACTCTTTTGATCCTAAAGGTTGCCGACCTCTGATCTAGGCTTTTCCACACTTGCACTTCCCTGGATTTCTGCCAAAGATCTCATTGGCAATTTTCGTTTTAAAATAGCAAACATTAACAATGTAATTGCCCCCATCACAGTGAAGACTGTCTCTGGTAAGAAAAAGACTCCATTTTAATTCTTTGTGTAAAGCACCTTGAGTTGCCTTGTCACTGAAACGTGCTGTATAAATAAAGCAGCTTTGCCTTTTCTGATCCAAGTAAAGCTTCATATAAACGACATTTTATTTTTAAGCCTGATACGGATGGTTATGGATTCATTTACTGAATCAGGCTTCTTGATAAGGGACCTACTTGTTTGACTCTCAGGTAAGAATATAAATGTTGAAATGGTTCGGACAGTAAAATATATTTTATAGGATCTTTTGACAACGAAGACGAGTTCAGACAATAAACTCATGTTTTATTATTGATACAAGCGTACAGCACATTTTGTGTTTTAGTTTGGTGAAACCGTTCGTGCCCTCAGACATCTACAGGTGAGGTACTTCATGGCAGTCACGCACACATGCATCAGAGGACCCAGGTTAAAAAGCATGTGGTAGAAGGTGTGAACAGTCAGGTCTCCGGTGTCGTCTGCGTGCTTCAGGGCAACGATCGGTGAGTACATCGAGTTGGTCAGATTATGGAAACGTGGTCTGCTGGCTTCAATCACTTTCTTTGTGCACTGCAGCAAAAGGACCAGGGTTGGTCAGATTAGTTTAGATAATAAATCACAAAGTAGAGAGAGTGCACAATCTTTACTTTCGCAATGTCATCAGGTGTTTGTCCGAATCCCTCGAAGATGTTCACAGCAGTGGGAAGATAGATGTTCTTGAAGTAGTGCACGGTGTCGGGATCCGCTCCAGGATATTCCTTCTGTTTCACGTCTTCCATCATTTTCACTTCGAATTCTGTGTGCACTGGTCCAGGTTCGATCATTGACAGTCTGCGCACACACACAAAAAGAAGCAAACCACCATACCCAGTGGTATGCCACACTAAAATCAAGTACATATGAAGATTTCAACACTCATTCCAAGTTAATTAAAAACTACTTCATGAAACGACCGACTGATCAGCTTTATGAAATTATTATTGTTTTGTACTGTATATGTCATCCATCCATCCATTTTCTTTACCCGCTTATTCCATTTTGGGTCACGGGGGTCGCTGGTGCCCATGTCCAGCAATCACTGTGCGAGGGGCGGGGTACACCCTGGACGGGTCGCAAGTCCATCACTGGGCCACATAGAGACAAACGAGACAAACAACCATTCACTTTCTCACTCACACCTAAGGACAATTTAGAGTTACCAATCAGCCTAACATGCATGTTTTTGGACTGTGGGAGGAAACCGGAGTACCCGGAGAAAACCCACACATGCACGGAGAGAACATGCAAACTCCACCCAGAAAGGCCCCTGGACCGGGGTTTGAACCAGGGACCTGCTTGCTGAGAGGCAGCAGCTCTACCAGTTGCGCCACAGTGCTGCCCTGTATATGTCAGTGTAATGATATTCTACTAGAATATATCTGTCCTCACCCTCGTTTAAACAGATTACCACTTTGCCTTGCCTGTGCTATCCCATCACTGTCCACCTAGAAGGCTGTTATTATCATGAAATGTTCCTCTGAACTCACTGTCATTGAAGAAAATCTGTATGCTGGACCAAAAGATAGTTGTATACGTGTGTTAGTAGTCAAATACAAAACCAAAGCTACAATGTGAGTAACTTAGAAATAACATAAAAAAGGTCCAACAAAGTTCAGTCAGGTCATCTGGACGATGGTTTCTATATTTTGGTGAGATGTTTGGGCTTTCATCCAAAGGACTTCATCTGTCCGAGGAGCCACAAACAAACTCAGTCCCACAAGCAGCACACTCCCATAATAGACCAACCAGTTTGGTGATAAGATGGTTTCTGGGGTCCGCCCTCTCCACCGTCGACTCCTCTGAGTCAGCCATGGTCAAAGTGGTTCAAACATAAAAAGGTGTGTTAAAGAGACAACAATCACTTCAACACTTCTTACCGTGTCATTTTGCTCCTTCTGGAGAAAATTTGTTCTGCAATCCATAATCCAAACCTTATTTTCTTTTCTTTGTTCACAAAGGACCATTTGAAGTGCTATTTTGAAGTGTGCCTTTGAATAGATAGCATGCCGTCATTTCAGAACAAATGTGTGACAACTAGGCCTGTCACGATAAAAAAATGTTGCTGGGCGATTAATTGTCCCAGAAATTATTGCGATAAACGATAAAATTGTTTGAAATTTGACAAATTTAAGAAGAAATGTTGGTTAATTTGTTTTGATTATAGTAACTTTTTTGACCACTGGATGGCAGTATAAGACAGTTTGAAACAAAGGATGGATAGTGAGGGAGCGAGCAGCGTGCCTTAGAAAAATGGGGGCTGTCTCTGTTTCCTTTTTTTTCGGCTCTCAAAATGACAGATGCTCGGTGTGGTGTAAGCTCTTTAGTTTAGCATTTTTCACACAAAGCTTTTAATAAAAAATCTGTAAACAAGTTCTCACCTTCTTTTTGCAGAGAAAAACAACTTTTTACATGAAGGCACTCGTTTCAACCGTGAATTTTGGATTTTCGTCGATGTCGGCCTTTTAGCTTAGCTCGTAGCTTAGCTTCTCAGCTTAGCTGCTTTTAACGATCCAAAAATGTGATTTTGGACGGTTAAAACTGATTTTAAAGAGAAAAGAGAAAGGGAGGGGAAGAGCACCGGAGTTGAGCCTTTTTTTCATCCAGTGTCTTCAGTAGAAAGAGAGACACGAAGAAATGATAAAGCTGATAAATGAAAATGAGGTAGATAATTTTAATTTATCATGCGATTCATTGATTTATTGTTTACTGCGACAGGCCTAGTGACAACAACATTACTGTCCACAACAACATGTCCACTGTCCCTTACACTAATCCCTGATGTCCATCTACTTCACCTCCCATCTACATTTACAGCACATGCAGAATGTCTGAGTAAATAACAACAGTTTAAATGTTCCGAAAATGTCTATCCTTCAAAAATACAAAATTAAACGTTACTTTTTTTTAGAGCAAAGCTGGATTCACACTCTAATTCATTCAACTCATCCTTTAATTTTGTTCCGTTAGTTACATTTTAGTCAATGTGCTTTAATGAGTGGTACTCACGTGACGTTGAACTTTAAAAGCTGCACAGCCAAACTCTCGCAAAAGCCCTCCATGGCAAACTTGGAAGCTGAGTAGACGTCGTTAAACACCACCGCTGAGAAGAAAACACATTTCTGTCTGTTGAGACGTCCAGTTGTAATCCATTAATGCTTCCATCTATCAAAGTGATGCTGACAGTCCTGTTATTTATCACTGTAGCATTGAGCAGCCCACCCAACCACACCCCACTACCTGCCTCCATGTCTCTGCTCACCTTGTAGACCCATCACACTACTGACCACGATGATGTGTCCCCCTCTTCTTCTCTTCATGTCGGGCATCACCTCCTTGATCATGCGAATAGCTCCAAAGAAGTTGGTCTCAAAGACTTTCTTCATCTCCTCAATGGGGATGCTCTCAACCGGACCCACCAGACCGATCCCTGCGTTGTTGACTAATCCGGAGGAGGTGAGAAACGAAGAATAGGAGGGTGAAAATGTGTGATCAACTGACAGAACGTTAGAAGTATTTGGTTTGGACTCACTGAGGATGTCCACGTGTCGATCTTTGATGCCATCGATACACTGTTTGACAGATTCATCACTGCAGACGTCCAGGACGGCAAGAGAGAGCGTTTTCCCGTACGCATCTCCGGCAGCTTCCACCAGCTTATCTTTACGTTTCAGATCACGCATCGTAGCTATAACTGCGAACAGGAGAGTCAAATGGAGAGCGTGCATGAGTGGTGGTGAGGGCTGAAATTTGTGAGTTGTTAAAGTTAAAAAAAGATCACAGCAAAAACTAAAATTAGCCAAAATGTAAACAAATTAGTAGCTAAAAAAAACCACAATTAACAAAGACAAAGATAAAAGCTACTGTATAAGACCCACTAAACTAGCTGAACGCTAATACCAGCAGAACAGCAGCTAAAATATAAAACTGATGGAAAGTTAGCTAAAACTTAAAGCAGAAGAACAGTAGCTAAAGGCTAAAATTAGATGAACAGCAGCTGAAAAGCTAAAAATGAAGCAAGTTACATTAGCTGAAAGTATGCAGAACTAGCTATTGTCCACAAACGTATAGAAAAAACTTTAAATGGGAGAAAAAATTCATCATGTTGGTAAAACAAACATCATTTTGATCTTAAAGCTTTCCTTTAGCTTGTTTTAGCTGTCCTAGACTGATAAAACCATGTAGAGGAATTAGTCTGACAGATTGTTCTGCTCGGGAACAGTCGTATAACCTGAATAAAAACTTTTGTTCACAAACTTCAAGCAACATAACAAACCAACAACTCCCCTTTAGTTTATCTTTGATGAGTTTTAGTAAAAACTGGTGGCAGCTGGTCCATAGGGACACCGAAAAGAATGCATTCGCCCCACAAAGTAGTTCCTCCCAATGAACAACGCAAATGAATTATTTACTGAGCTTACTGTGTATTGTTTTGTTCTGTATACTTTCAACACTTTTAACAAGGTTTAATGGAATTTTTAATGATTTTCAGAAATTTCTTCTCCGTTTAAAAAAACAAATGTATTTACTGCTATGGGGCGGGACCGTTCACCGAACCGCATTTGTCAAGCAGATCCGAACGTGCTGCCTGTGATCCGAACAGCCAGGTCCAAAAGTTTCATTTGAGGCATCAGATTTTCTGCCCCGTGGACACATCCGGCAGGTTTTAGTGCATATGACCACTGGACTGCACGGTGGCACAGTTGATAGAGCTGCCGCCACTCAGTGAAAAGGAAGCCGATTCAAATCCTGGCTCAGGACCTTTCTGGGTGGAGTTTGCATGTTCTCTCCGTGCATGAATGGGTTTTCTCCAGGTACTCTGGTTTCCTTCCACAGACCAAAAACATGCATGTTAGGCTGATTGGTAACTTTAAATTGTCCCTAGGTGTGAGTGAGACAGTGAATGGTTGTATGTCTCTCTGTGATGGACTGGAGACCTGTCCAGGGTGTCCCCCGCCTCTCGCACAGTGACTGTTGGATATGGACACCAATGACCTCCGTGACTCGAAACGGAAGAAAGGGTAAAAGATAATGGATGGACAGATGAATATGATTGCTACTAACCCTAGACCTCGCTGAGCTCAGAGCTGCAGTGAAACCTGCTGAGCACAACAGTGGAGATATTCTGTATAAATTCATTTGGTGCAGACAGACAGGGCCCAAATAGAAAACTGAGGATGACAGAGAAAAAACAACAACAAAAAATATGGACATTTGCTACTAGGGATGCACCGATCCACTTTTTTCATTTCAGATCCGATACCGATATCTGCTGTTCAGTATTGGTTGATACTGATCCGATACAGAAAACAGTGCTGAATTAACAAAAATGGCTAAATCATGTCATCTGGACCCGTTTCTGAAACAGGTCCAGATGACATGATTTAGCCATTTTTGTTGTCTACCTGGATGTTTGAGCTTACAAACCCAGTGCTGAATTAACTTAAAACATTTGTTTTGTTAAACGCAGACATGAATGTACTGAATTACAAATTTATTGAAAACTCTGAGCACACTTAAACACACTAAGAGATCCACAAGCTTGGTCAAACATGTAAAAACAGCACAACTTCAATTTGTTCAGTCAGTACGCTAGCGCGCGACGTCACTCAGAGCACAAAGCATAGAAGTAGAGTGAATAGATCTGCCCAGTCATGGATCGGTCACATTGTCAACGATACCCGATCCAATTTTTTTTATTTATTTAATTCTCTCAATATCAGTACCAATACCGATATTGTATCGGATCAGTACGTCTCTATTTGCTACCATGGTAGGATCTCTTTTAACCAGTTCTGTGGGGGTGACAGAGTGTGTGGCAGTGATTGGTCAGTGGTTAGGTCATTAGAAGTCTTTGATCCCTGCATGTAACAACTAATTGAAGTGGTAATAATAAATTGTTTCAAAATGTTTTCACTTTGTTTTTGTTTGTTACTTCATTAACTTTTTCTCCCATTTTATTGTGTTAATCTGGAGTAGTATTTTTGGAATTGTTACTTCACATCAAATTAAAAAACACAGTACAGAAAGCTTGTTTTCTGTGATTCGTTAGAACAGACTATTTTTCACGAGACACACCACCTCGACCCTCGGGAGAGAGAAAAAAAGGCAACGAGTTTAAGCACAAATGAATATAAAATAACGGACAAAAAAAAACCCAAACGGTAATGATCTCAGCATGAAACAACATAAATCTTATGTTTTCACAGAAAATGTAACACAATTTGTAAAACTTGTGTGGTTAATGATTCAGGAAATGAATATCCACTCCACTAATATTTTTGCTCATTAAAAGGTAGAAATTTACACTGACTTCAAGTAGGGCTTTAACAGACGAATCGAGTAATCGACAGGTCGATTCCTAGGACATCTATCGAGTTTTTAAATTTCATGTCGAGTATTCGCAGTGACGTCATTGTGTCACGTGATCCACACCCGGCTACTAGTAGAAGTTACCAAATGGATTCCTCCCAGCAGATGGACTGAACGGAGCAGGTCCAGTCTTGACAAACAGGTAGAAATGCATCAATAGTCTGGAAATATTTCACTAAAGATGAATCTTCTGGTTCAACTACCGTAAGGAAACAGAAAATGAAACAACTTCCTGACTGTTTGGAGTTGTTGTGAACCGGTGTTACACCATATTCCGTGACCACCGTATATTGTGACCGTAGGGGCGGTGTTGCATGCACTGTTGCAGGTCACAGAATATGGTGCAACACCGGGTCCAATGACCGAACCAGAACCAGCTTCCTCTGACCTTGTTGCACAAACAAAAAGCAAAATATATTAATCTCTAAACCTATAAATAAAAACCTATAAACATATTAATCACTAAAACTAAACTTAACGCGCACCACAGCTGGCGGTGGTGCGGGGTGGTCGACCCCCCCACTGTTTTTAGTTTAGTTTTTGACGTGCCGCACGTTTCTTTCACTTTTGCAGCTTAATAATAATAACTAATAGTTTTGGTTTTTCTTGCAAATTATTTGCAGTATGATAAATGGGAGGAGCATAATATACGCTCCCAATGTTTTGTTGGTCTTTTTTTGTAAATAATAAATGACAGGGTTTTTTTCTGTTTTTTTTTTTCTTTCATCTTGAGATCCTATGATGTCATCAACTACTCGAGTTCTACTCGAGTTTTATTATGTTGATGTCGAGTTTTAAAATGATGTAGTCGTTCAACCCCTAACTTCAAGTAGCAAATGTGTTTAAACCATATTTAAATCTTAATTATATCATATACTGTATGTGCAATACATTTTTCTCTTGCTCAGATATTACTCTCTTTTCCCTCAGAACATTTCCTCATTTATCAAACGGTTTAATGGCAGCTCGTCCCCTTCAGGCTGCTGTAAATAACTGATTAGGCGTCGTGCCCACGTGAGTCAAACTAAGTTCACTCTTTCTATGTTGTCTTTTACAACCACACAAGGTACACAAAAGCACTGACTTTCCTTTATTTAGTATGTGCACAAAGAGTGGACACATCTACTCAACGTATTTGGTTCCAACTGGTACAGAAAATAACTTAATGTTATAACAGCTACTTACTGGTCTTAGACAAACGTGACTTTATCCCCATCCAGCCTGTGAGCCACGCTCCAGCACTACGAGCCAATATTAGCCTGAAGTGCTGCTTTGCTGCCTGATTTAACTGTTGTCTAGTGTCTTAAGGGTCTTACGGCTGTGACGGGATCAAAGGGATGACTGCGTGTGCGTATAGAGAGGTGAATAAAGCCGAGAGCTTTTCATACACAGGGCACCTTTAATTTAAAATCAGATCTCTGTGGTAGAAGATCCACAAAGCTTTCAGCCCTATTACTCCGATCTTTAGGACAGAAAGAAGAGGTTATTTCAAAATAGATACTAATTTCATCTTTTTTTTTTGCTCTTTAAGTCCAGTCAGCATAAACATAAACAAAGCAGTCAAATAGATTACAGCATTATGTTTTTCAAGGATAATGGAGGTTCGTACACTGCAGGAACAGCACTCCAATGACCAAAACATGGCAGGATTGTGTGCGACTGAGTGCTCGCTGTGATGTATGTGTCATTTTGAATGATTAGCTGACTACATTGTGAGGTAAATGGACTTTACAGACAGGATTTTATCTTATCAGGTTTAGTTTATCTATTTTTTTTGGTCAAGTTCATAAATAACTGGATCAGATTTGATCGTGTACTGATGGTGGTGGGTGCGTTTGACAGCTCGTATTGGCTGTTTGTGTGGTTTTGTTCGACTCACATCGTCAGCTTATGGCTCTGATCGAGATGCCATATCTACAAATCCAATAATATGAAATATAATTCATAATCTGGCTTTTTTTTTTCAAACAGCCTCTTCTGAAGACTCACAGCATCAAACTGTTCTGTGAGATAAACCCAGAAGGCTGTTTAGTCAGCTCATACAGTAAATGACACTTAAATGATCCTTTAACAGTAAACCTGAAGTGTGATCTCATAGAAACCTTTTACTTTATTTATATTTTCTTTGTGCATTTTTTTAAAATATTAGACTTTGTGCAGTAAATCATGTTGTCAAACTGGATTTGCTTCTTCGTGAGACGAGCTCAGTTTGTGCAGAAAGCCTGATGCTGCAGCTGCAGTGGCATTCGTTCATGAAACAAATCATTCATTTATCAACGTATTGTTTTTTTTGGATTTGATGTATTTTTATGCATGTGACATATTGTGACATACTTGTCTGTCTGTTAGCATAATATCTCATAAACTGGTGAACAGCTTCTAATGAAGGTCTCAGAAAGGAATCATTGGAAGAGTCAAACTGATTCAAGATGGCCCCCAGTGCTAATCAATCTCAGCAAACACTAAAATGGCAATAACTCAGTCATGTTTAAAAATGTTGAGATAAAACTGTTAGTAGCTGAGACTACTTCCCAAAACATACTCTGAGAACTAACAGATCACACAAGGTCCTTATTTCAAAATTGTCCATGCAAACCAGTACGTAAAGTGCATTTCTTTAAGAAATGCTAGGCATTTAGTGATATAAAGCCTTTGGGCTCACTATTATAGTAGTTAAAAAAAAAAAACTTATGATAGCATGGATTTTATTTTAATAAGTTTAGCAATTAGTGCTGTGGAAGTCCTTTGTGGTCTCGGACCTCCTTGTAGTTTGTATTTCATGTACATTCATAAAGCCCTCCACTGCTCTGAACTAGACTTTTCAGTGTAATCATCATTACTTAATGTAGCTCTTAAAGAAAGTACCTTAGGAGATAAATGTTTTTAATATACATATATTGATCGTATCATTTCACAAGTGCATTTCTTTACTATCTGAAATTTGTCATGTATGCTTGAAAACTAACCTATTTGTTTATTTATTTAACACCAAGAACATTAAAGAAACATTTATTTTGACCTCCATGCACTTACCATGATAGCGCTTCTTTTCATCCTTGGCCAGCATCACAGCCATCCTCAGGCCGATACCAGAAGAGCAGCCGGTGATCAGCACCACTTTCTGTTCAGGACTCCCCATGGTTCCTCTGGCTCTCTGCTTTCTGTTCAAACTGGGAAACCAGAAGACAAGCAAACAGCTCTGCAGAAGAGCCACAATAAGAGGATAACACAGAGTGAGTCACATGGACAAAGAAAGACTGGGATTATCTAACAGGTTGCCCAGTCCTTGTGGTTCTGCTTTTAGAAGAAAAGAAAACACAGCAAGAGTTGAAATATCAGACCTGAAATTTTGTTTCTGAACATATGTGAGCCATACAGCATAAAGCAGTGATTCACGCTGTCTTAAAGAATATAAATAAATAAATAAAAAATATAGTAGAAATTTGTGAAATTCGCCTCGAGATTCGTTATCGACAGATTTGGCGCCATCTTGTGGTCAAAGTTGATATCGTTCAAAAACGCACTTCTGTACAGTAGCGCAATTATTATTATTTGGGTGGGGGTGGGGGGGCCTTGATGGAAGTAATATAGGAGCTAATGAATATTGTCCATGAGAAGGTTTGTAATCAAATAAGATTTATTTTTAATTAAATGAAAAAGTGATTCTCATTAAGTCGGTCTCTGTTTCACACACAAACACACACACATTTTTAATTGTGGCTGGCTGTCAAAAGTTGAACACAATTCTACCTGAAGCAGGAGGAAGGGATTTTGGAATTATGCCTAAAATCTTTTTTCCCCCCTCAGTCAGTTTCTTAATGTATGCCTGGAACCAAATGACTTCTGTAACCAAAAACACGAAGTTATCATTAATATTCACCACATTAAAGTTATCTTTATCTCTGATCTTGTAAGGTACAAAGCACCTGATGAAGAAGCCAAACTTCTACAGACCTTGGCTCATTCCTCTACTTTAAAAGCAGTACTTCATTTGCTGAAATACAGTGGTGGTGGGGGGTGGGGGGTTGCTTTTAGCAAGACAGACAATATTTGTGAAAAAATGCTTCAGCAATGGAAGTGTTGTGTTATTCTCACACAAAAGAAAATTACACGTTAACCATAATTGATAATGGAAATGTTGCTCAATCTGTTTATGCTATGAGTTGTGAACAACTCTCTTATGCATAAAGTCAATAGCTTTGGCGACCTAATCATTCTGGAAGTTTCATGAAAATATGTTCGGTGGTTTATGAGATATTTTGCTAACAAACAGACAGAGTTGATTCCTAGTTAGTGGCATTAATTGACACAGATCTTGTGCAATCAATTAGCACAATTCAGTCAGTAGATGCCATTTCTTACTCTGAGTTTAATTAAATATAACTCAGCAAGTTGTGAGAGATTTGGATGTAAATATGAGTTACATTTTAACGCTCATAATAAAACAGGCAATTATTATAAATGATCTCTGAGCAGAACAATGTCTGTGTTTCTGTTGTCCTCCTTCGCTCGTAAACTCATCAGCTCATAAAGATTGTGACCTCCACCTTTCAGGAACAAAAGTTGGGGTAAACTTTTGCAACAAGAAGTCATCCAGTTTGCATTTTTTGTGCGAGGCGTAATTATGCCGAGTGTCTGAGCTGAGGTGGGCAAAGACAGACAGGCACTGGAATTTGGAATCTGCAGCAGCATATTTTTATTAGTTGGGCAGCACCTTTGTCCTGTCCTAGCATGCTGCTGCTGCTGCTGCTGGGCGCGTTCATGTTCAGCTCTGTGCACATCTTCAGAGACCTGCAGAGGGTGGCATACATGGGGTGCCGTTTGTAAAGTTAGACCGTCAAAAATTAATAGCAATATTTTGGTTAATTTAGCCTTTCATAAGAAAAAAAAAAGTTTTTTTTTTTCCAAAGTCATATTTTCACCATGTTATGCATACATTATGTCATGGTTCCAAGCTAAATATTTAATTTACAGGTTAAATATTTAGCTTACAAACTAAATACTTAACTTGCAAGTTAAATATTTAGTTAGCAAACTAAATATTTAGGTGTAAATTAAATATTTAATTTCCAAGCTAAAGATTTATTTTCAAAGCTAAACATTTAATTTCCAAACTAAATATTTATTGTCCAAGCCAAACATTTAATTCCTAAACTAAATATTTGATTTGCTAATAGCTCAAACCTAAATATTTATTTTCCAAGCGAAACGTTTAATTTCCAAAATTAATTTGATAGCTAAATATTTAGCTTGGACCTAAATATTTAACTTGCAAGTTGAATATTTAGAGCCATTAGCAAATTAAATATGTAGTTTAAGGATTAAATGTTTAGCTTAAAAATTAAATGCTTAATTTGGAAATCAAATATTTAGCTTGGACAATAAATATTTAGTTAGGAAATTAAATGGTTATTTTTGAAAGTAAATATTTAGCTTGGAAATTAAATATTTAATTTACAACTAAATATTTAGTTTACTAACTAAATATTTAACTTGCAAGTTAAGTATTTGGTTTGTAGACTAAATATTTAGCTTGGAAATTAAATATTTAGTTTGGAACTTTGCTATTTATAAATGTATGAATGACATGGTGAAAATATGACTTTGAGAAAAAAAATACTATGAAAGGCTACATAAACCAAAATATTGCTGTTAATTTTTGACTGTGTAACTTTACAAACGGCACCCCATAGACACAGGGTCTGTACCTGTTGGGTGGTTCGGTGTCAGACGGGCAGGTTTTATTAAAGCAAGGTTCGAGTCCCTTCAGTCTGAGCAGGATGGATGGACGCATCAGTCAATCCACCCATTAGGTGAACATTGGCACGTGCGGTTGAGCCGCAAGTCTGAGGAGTCTCAAGGGAGGGAGGGGTCGTCCCGGAGAGGAGGAGGAGGAGGGAGGGAGGGAAGAGAAAGTGAGGAACATTCTCTGCAGATGACAAAGATAAAACCTTCCTAATATTCATCTTTCTTTTCTCCACAGAGCGGAGAACAGTGACAGCGCTCTTTATTCGCAGGCGCGCTCCTAATTAACTGCCAGCTTGTTGGGGCGCGCGCGCTCAGACGCGCTTCTGAGGTGTTGGAGCTCGCGCAGCAGTCCTGGCGGAGTCACTGGTGGTCATTATATCATCTTCTGATGCGGCTATGATGGACCGATGGAGACTAACGCGCCACGCGTGGATGCTGCTGCTGATCAGCTTCTTCTCTGTTTCTATTGCAGGTAGGTTGAACATTTGAAATACGTCCAGAATGCCCATTAAAACCAAATAAATGTTTACAAATTAATTCATTTGTGATGTTAAATTGACTTGTAAAAAGGAGATTTTCCTCTTCCTGTCTTCTAACTGAGCTCTCCAGCTGTTTTCATCATATTTTTTATTCTAATAATTTCCAACTAACATAAACAAACTGTCACTTGCACACGCAGAGTTTAACTCTTGAGTTTTTTCCACTCTTCACCATGAACTCCTCATGTCCATGTCTTGCAAAGCTCCCCCCACCCCCCTCCCAAAAATAGCTTCCATTTCTGGGATGATTTGGCCTAAAGCTGATTGAACTGAGCTTACTGCACATTTAGCAGACAGTCTAGAGATATAGGCCATATGTGTCTGGACTTGTACCATACCTGCTGCATCAGTGTTCCCCTCAGTCTGCAGCTTGCAGGACATTTCACCTCTCCGGCTGTAATGTGGAACAGACTCAGGCAAATTGAAGCGAGCTGTGCAGGGGATGCTTGGCTACACGCAGCGCCCGGAGCTGCAGGAACCAGATGGAGACTTTTATCTTCAGGCCTGTTAGAGGCTGGCATCACTGATCACATCAGTTGAAGATGCCTTGGGTAACTGATACTGTGGGAAGGTTATGAGTAGTTAATATCCTACCTGCTGCAGATGTTTTTTTGAACAACCTGATTTGGATAAAAACAGTTACATTCTGACGGGTTTGATGAGCTAATCGCCCAATTTAAAAGGGACTTTACTATCAAAGTGGATATCCTAAAACTCCAATGTCAAAGATTTCAAAGCGGTTTTTACGAACGCTAATTGATAAACCTTCATGTTTCATGGTTATTTTTCATGGAATGGTAGTTTTCAAGAGTAACTAGCGGCAGTAGGCGTTCCTGTGAACGCTATATTATTTTTGCTGGTATAACTGATGACCACGTTCTGTTTTTTTAGAGGTTGACATTCACATGAATCATTATAAAACATTACAGATATTCCAGCTAAAATGTTATGATATTCCTCTAGTGGCAAAGACTAAACTAGAAGTGCTGCAGCTAGTGGTTACTGCCACCATTGGCACTCGCAAATAAGACATTTCTAAATGACCTTTTGAGATTGAAGTTGTTTTAAGCCACCACTGATCCGTTTTGTTCTTAGGCCTCGTCCACACGGAAACAACTCAAACACTTCGCTGTTTCTTGAAATGTTCACGTGCTCACAGAAATGCAGGCAGACTCAAAACAACCTGCTGTAACTATGCCAGGCCTGAAGGTGGTGCTGTACAGCTGCCGCTAACAGAAACAACAAGGGAAACCAAGAAGAGGAGCAGATGCCCCAAAGGGTGATTACAAGAGCAACAACCAAATCCTTCTTGTTGGTTGATGACAAAGTGATCTTCTACTTTGTGTCACATTAAACTGTTAACTGGGAGTCGTGTCAGTCTAAATACAAGAACATAATGGATGCTTTTCAAGCCCAGTATACAGTGAGAGATGACGCAATGTTTATTATATATCAGGCTAGATTATTTATACATAAATCTGGTCTTTTAAAACTACAGTAGTCGCTCGTTTATCGCGGAGGGTACGTTCTGGAACCCCCGCGATAAGTGAAAATCCACCAAGTAGGGACGTTATATTTATTTTAATTATAAATTTTAAGGCTTTATAAACCCTTTCCACACTCTTGCAATGTTCTAAAGTCTTAAACCTACGTCATTTTAACAACCTACGTATTTGTACTGGACAGTACTGCAAAATTTTACTCGCCGGCTCTGCAGAAGACAGCGGCTCGGATCCAAACCTTCTCTGCTGATTCTGGTCGGCTCTCTGCAGCCCTTGAGCACCAAAATGCTTTTGGAGGGAGCCGGACCTTTGGATGGCCAGCACGGTACCAGACAGTGGTCCAATTGTGTCTAAATTCGGAAGAAAACAGTCCTGGTGGGCTCCAGAGAGAGTGCTGGACCTCTGGGTGGCGTTTCCCCCCTATGAAGGCCTTGTGGGCCGGCAGGCAGCACTCAGATTAACCGATGAGTTTCTGGTTCCTGGTCGGTTCTGGTCGGCTCTGCATCCACTGCGTGCCGAAGTCACAGTATGAATAAGGACCAAACTTTTTTGGACCAGCTCAAAACTTTCCCTCCAGTATTTCAGCAGAAGGCAGCAAGGCATCTAAGAGGTGCACTGTTGGCTTCTGGGAAATGTAGTCATTTTGATGGGCAACTACAATCTGGCTGCGCCTGTCCAAAGTTTTTTTTGTTTGTTAACTTTTTACTGTCACTGTCCCAATCACGTGAGTAATATTAAAGTGGACGATCATGTGTTGTGGACCTTTTTTTTTTTTTCTCGTGTGCAATCTTACCTTGAAAAACCACGAAAGAGCGAGTTCGCAAAAGTCGAACTGCGAAGTAGCGAAGGACTACTGTATTCCTTGTTCCCACATTTTCTTTTTAGTATTGTTGACAGAGATTCTTCAGTAAGCAACAATAAAGATTTTTGGCCTTAGGATATTTCATGTAATAGTGTTTTATTTTTGGCCCTGCTGTGTTATTGCTCATCACCATGTATGCAAAAGGTTTTGTTGTAGTTGAGCAACTGGCAACACAAACAGCAACATGTCATTTTTATTACGTCTCTCCAGCTCAGGGTTGGGTTGAAAGTGTTGCTTTACACTTTATTTCATCCTATTTTTTCCCTATTCTTTGCCTCTTTTATGTACAGGTCCACATCTCTTGTTTTTTTCTGGAGCACACCAGCGTTTCAGACTTGGCAAACTCTCCACGTTGTCTGCACCTGCTCTGTCTGGGAACACGCTGAGACGATATTCATGCGGTCTCCCAATAATCTTTAAGTATCTGTTAGTAGATAGTGATGCTCATTTGTTTGTCTGTTAAAAGGTGAAGTTTGTGCGTATTGTCATGCCAACTTATGGGAAGTAATAACACGTGTTCAGACATCACTCTGTCTGTGGAGGCCATTACTGAAGTGACTGATGTGACCTCTGCACCTTTGGGGTTAGGTCAAACTCAGGGTGTGACCCCTGCAGCATCGTTCAAGATGCTTCCTTTTACTTTAGATTTGATTATTAAATAACTGCTTGCAATGAGGAACATTAAACACAACAGATGTTTTTATTATCCAGATGTTGGACAAACACTTTATCATGGCGTTCAGGTATATTTGATGTTTTCCTCAATGTCAAACGCAGCCACGCACCTGGCTTTGAGCAGGGCTGGGTCTGAATGATGATTGCAAACCTCTGAATTATGTGGTCACGCTAGGGTCAAGCATGTCGTGATCTGGCCCGAGGCGGTCCAGGAGCGTACATTAACGAGTCAACGTGTTTAACATGAACCCATCAGCCTCGCTAGTACAGTTTATTGCTTTTACAGTAACCGAGTGGCTCTTATGTCTGCAAATTAAAAATAATCAACTTAAACTTAGTTTAACGCTTTCAAAGTTGTTTCAACAGCAGGAAGATGGCTCACAGTATTTGTTTCCACTCAGCATTATCACAAGATATAATTTACGACTGCAGGCATGATCTTACTGCAGTGAAAGGTGTGAAGTTAGGGAAGCAAATATAGTTGGATGTGTCTTTGTGTGAGTTGATGTACCATGGTGAACACTTTCAGCGACTAGTAGCTACGATTTATTTTGTCCTGTACACATTTATAATTTGTCTCTTGAATTTAAATAAACAATACGAGCTAAATTAATTTAATTCCCATCTTCACGAACTCCTCTTTGTGTCGGTGGCTTGTTGCTTCATGCTAATTCAAATGTGGTGAACTGGTAAACTCTACCTCAAAGAACAGCGTTTTCCAATCAGCCTCTTTTTCTTTTGTTAGCTCTCACATGCACACGCCGGTGGAGCTGCGGTGGAAGGTGCTCAGTGGCCCACGGGGAGGAAATTATCTTGTGGCGTGATTGATGAGGGCTGTCTTTCATCTGACATTTTGAGCAGTTTTGTTGAAGGCAGGTTTTGAGGTCGGCTGGTGCAGAATGCCGTGTCTGCAGGCGTTTCTGGCAGCTGACGCTCAATACAGAGGTGACGTTAACCCAGGTCCTGATTAACTCTTTGTTCTCTGAAGCAGTGGTTCCCAACACTGGTCCTTGAGGAACACCATCCTGCATGTTTTAGTTGCTTCCCTGCGTTGATACACCCGATTTGAATCAATGGGCGACTAACAGGCTTCCGTAGAACTTGATAACCTAAATAAATCACTGAATCAGGCGTGTTGGAGCAGGGAAACAAGTAAAACATGCAGGAGGGTGTTCCTCAAGGACCAGTGTTGGGAACCTCTGCTCTGGAGAACTCACAACCGCAATACCAAGGACAAAAATACTGGTTATTGTAGTGGGTCTATGCGATAATTTACATAGAAACACGAAGGCAGTTTGGTTGAGAAACAGCAACAAACTAAACAACTGATGTCACGTCAGTGTAGATGTCAGCGTAGAGATGTAACAATAGCTAACGTATCCTGATTCATGCTCAGTAATCCAGGTAGAAAACTCCAGCAAAGTTGAGTCAGGCGCTCTGGACGGATTCTTTGTGTTGAAACGTTTCGTCTTTTATTCAAAAGACTTCATCAGTCTGAGGAGCCACAACAAACTCAGTCCAGCAGCGCCCTCTCATAGTGGGTCAACCAGTTTGATGGTCTCAGGTGGTTTCTGGAGTCCACCCTCTCCCCCTCTGACTTGTTTGAGACAGTCATGGACATAGTGGATCCAAATATCCTTATTCATGCTCAATAATCCAGGTAGAAAAAGACAACAAAGTTATTATATTTGTTTATTTGAAGTACTGAGCATGAATCTGGATTTTTTGATCCACTTTAGCCATGACTGCCTCAAACAAGTCAGTGGGGGAGAGGGTGGACTAGAGAAACCATCTGAGCACCATCAAACTGGTTGACCCACTATATGAAGGTGCTGTTTATAAGACTGAGATTGTTGTGGCTCCTCAGACTGATGAAGTCTTTTGGATGAAAGCT